ATAGATATCTTAGTCTTAGATAAAGAAACATTTAAAGTAGAAGCTATTCTTAACTATAAAGGCCTATAAAGAAATAGACTCTATCTTATAAAATAAAAAGAGTATAACGATTTAGAAAACTTATAAGAACTATAATAAAACCTTAACAATAGCCTACTTTTACGTAAATACAAATAAACATATTAAGATAATTATTAGAAAGACATAATGTTACTAGTATAGTTATAGTAACGTAAGTATAACTTTTATATTTATTATATAAAAACTTAAAAACTTAAGTATCTTAAAAAAAACACTAAACTACTTTTTTACTAGTAAACACTCTTTAAAGCTCTACTAACTTTATTATTATATATCTTAGAAAAAAGAAAAAGAAAAAAATCTAAAGTACGATCTTACTTATTAAAGACGCTTTAACCCTTATTTATTTATTATTTGTCTTTATTACTGTCTTTTCTACTATTATTTTCTTTATTATTATTATCTTTTATAGTATCCTTTACTTTCTTACTTCTTTTAGATCTTTATAAATCGTACGCGTACTACCTTTAAGTTAGTAGCGACTTAGTATTAAGGTAAGGGATACTTATAACTTTCTTAAAATAAGATACATACTTTTTAAAGATAGTAACATAGTCTTACTATACTTGTATCGCCTCTTTTATAAGCTAATTACAATAGTCTACCTTTATGTTTATAGTTATAGTAAACTTATTATAAAGCTCTAACTAATAGGTAATTTTTACTAGATAACTTAACTTTTACTTTATACGCTTCTCTTTATTTACTTTATTACTATAAAGCCTCTTCTTTACTAATATTATAGTCTAAGACTTTAAATATTAAAGGCTCTTCTTTACTAAAGTTTAAGTAGCCTAAATCATAACTTATTTATATTAGCTTTAACTTTACTATAAATAATAGACTACCTTACCTTATCTTTTTTTGTAATTACCTTTTAAAGTTTTATTCTCTTAGCTTAGAGAGTTAAAACAACCTAGTAACGTTAATAAAGCTATAACGTAAGAGCGTCGCCTTAAGAAGGGTTATACTTATAAAAATATACTCTTTCTTTAGATTCTTATAGTATATATACTTTACTAACGCGGCTACTATACTATTAGGCTATTACTTTTTACTAAAAAGGAATACTTATAGTCGTTATCCTTATACTTTAGTAAGGTACTCTATAAGTCTTATAAAGCTATTTAGTTTAAACATTACTTATAAGCTACTAAACGCTTTATTAGTACTATATTATTGTTAGTAGTTTAATTAAGGTTTGTTAGAAGTTTGTTAGAAGAGTCGTAAGAAGAGAGAAGTATAATAGCGTTATATTTATATAAGGTAAAAAGAAGAAAAAGAGATAACAAACTAGTAAAAACAAGTCTTTATATACCCCTTAGTACTATAAGAAAGGGACTAAGTAAAGAGAGATAAAGAAAGTGTTTTTCTATATTTACTTAAAAAATATAATTATAAGTAATATAGTTTAATCTCTATAGCTACTTACTATTAGTATACTGTCGACCTTTTAGTAAAGGGTAATAAAGGATTTCTAAAAGCGGCTAAAGGGTAAGGAATACTAGTGTGCCTAGGTAATATAGTTAGTACTACGTATTAGGGATCTTACGACTACCTAGCGACTTACTAGTACTCTACTATAAGGTGTCTTAGCTAAAAGTAAATATAAGAGGTATAAGGTAGAGATCTAAAAGTATAATATATAATAGAAATTTTGTAGTTAGGCTACGCGCCTTTACTATACTATAAAGTCGCTACTACTCTCTTTTCTCTAATACTACTAGTTATATAGTTACGTATTTATTTACTAATTTATTTCTTTATTTTAGAGAGAGGGTATTTAAAGGCTATATCTAGGCCTAACGCGGCCTCTCTATAATCTAACGGCTACTTATAAGCTTTTAAGGACAGAAGCTAAAAAGAGAGGATACTATATTAGGTACACTAATACGTAAGACTATAATAGCTTAGAAATTAAGTATAAGGTAACTACGTACTATAACTAAGGTAATAGTAGGCGTTAAGAAGTATAAGAATAGAGAGAAGAGAGGTAAAAAGAGAGGAGTTTAGAGATTAGTCTATAGTTAAAGTAGTGATATACCTTTAAATATACTATAACTATCTATTAACTCTTGCCTCTTTTACTCTATAGAAATATACCTAACAGTAGATTTAGCTATACAGCGGTACCGCGTCTCCTTTAAGGTCTATTACATAAGTAGGGCCATTAATTACAGGTAGCGATCTAGCCCTTTCTTTAGAGAAGACGTCTACAAATTATTAGTACTTACTAGGTAGAGTTACTATAGCCTTACTGTCTTCTTATAGTTCCTCTTATAGTTCTTCTTTACTTAGGGATTCCGGGTCGACTATAATTAGTTATACTATTACTATAATTATAAACTAGGCTTCTTTTATTACTTTTTTAATTTCTTTCTTTATTATATATAGCCAGACTATTAAAGACGACGTAAGGTATATAAATGTCTAGGTCTTTTATAAAACGATTAGGTCTATAGCCTTTAGCTATAGAAATCTAAGTATAATATCTAAGTCTCTAATGTTAGTAATAACAAATCTACCTTAATGTCGCCTTACTATTAAGTAGTTATCTTAGGCCTTAATAAACAGATTATATAATCTAAAGCTTGTCGTTGTTTTCTAGAATAGTAAAGATACTATAATGTAATTATTAAGTTACTATAGTGCCTCTTATCTTAATAGTTATAAGTAGATAAGGTTAACTTTTACTCTTAAGTATAGTAAGGCTAGTATAGCTACCTAGCTACTTCTAATACGTATCTCTACCTAAATACTTATTAAGGGTTACCTCTCTTCTTATTGTTTAGGCATAACGTAGTAGGCTACTAGTATAGTATTAGCGCCTAAAGTACCGGCCTTATTAAGGTACTAAGCGTAAGTATACTTAGATTAACTATATATAGAGTATTTATATAGTAGGTATAAATTTGTCTAATGACTAGGCTACTAGTATTAGTAGTAGTTACCTTATACCTTACTTACTAAAGGGGTTTTTACGATACTAAGAGAGTCTCTTTACGTATTTAAAGTTTAGCTACTAGATACTCTTTACGTGTTTACTAGTGTAGATAAGGTCTTTAGATTATAAGAAGAGCCTCTTCTAGTATAGTATAGTATTAAAAGGGCTTTATAAGAGCCTTCTTATTACCTTGTCTAAATAAGAGTTTCCTTTCTTAACACTACTACCTTAACTACCTTAAAGGTATCTAAGACCTTACTACTTACTATATAGGCCCTTAACTTAGGCTTTAAATAGTCGATAAGAAGGCAGATATAAAACATCTCTAGAAGAGTATAGCTAAGTTTAATAACTAAAGAGTTATACTATTAAAGGAAATTCCTAAAGGTCTTGTTTTAGTTTTAAGTTAATATTTAGAGTTTTAATACTACTTTAAAAGAGCGAGTACTCTTATCTATAATACTATAAAGGAGCTACGCCTTTATTTCTCTCTAAGTTACATTAAGAACTAATCTGTCTTTTTTTAAGAAAATAAAAGACTTTTAGTACTCTTTAATATAATCCTTTAGTACTACTACTATAGTGTTAACGCGTTTAGTATCTATTAGATAACTCTCTAGATAGGTATTAAACTCTGTTTCTTAGTTAAATAAAAAGGTCGTAATACTAGTATATATCTTGTTTTTTAGTAAAATAAAAAGGGTATTACGATAGCTCTTCTTTATTTCTTTAATACAGGTTTACTAGAAAGGCTATTCTACTTTAAGAAGGTTATTAAATTTGTATAGGTTTATTAAGAGAGCCTCTCTTCTCTTAAGCGCTATAAGGTAGTCTTACTTTTACTTAAAGTACTACTCTACCCTTACTTAGGTAATCCTCTTGTTTAACTTAGTCTTACTTAAGGAAAGGATTTCTATTAACATTTAGGAGGTCGTACTAGGTTTACTACTATCTACCTATAAAGAGGTATTCTAAAGAGTTACTTAAGAAGAGGCCTACGTCTTGTTAAGGTTTATTTGTCGTGTCTACGTTATCGCTTCTTACTCTAATAGTCTATAACCTTTTAGTAAAGGAGAGAGATTAAAATGTTAGGTATATTTCTATAAAGTAGAAGAGGCAAGAGTTAATAGACAGTTGTAGTATATTTAAAGGTATATTACTACTTTAACTATAGACTAATCTCTAAACCCCCTTTCTTTCCCCTCCTTACCCTCTCTTCTTATGCTCCTTAATGCCTACTATTACCTTAGTCGTAGCACGTAGTTACCCCGTACTTAATTTCTAAGCCATTATAATTTTACGTGTTAGCGTACCTAACAGTTACTGTCAATTCTCTCGCTATTGTCATTACTATTTATTAAGTTTTCGTCTTGTAAAATGTACCGGGAGTTCTGCGAAGTTCTTCTGAGATTGAAGTAGCAGACGACCAGCAGAACATACCGTTCGCCATTTTCACCTGCTGGATTAATAGGCCCCAGGAAGTCCATCCCTACCATGCTCCAGGGTTCTGCCTAGGCAGACCAGGACGAAAAGTCTGAGTCTGATGTCCTGGAGACCCTAGTGACGTAGTAAGGGATCATGTGCCGCGTACTTTTCTTTGGAACAACCTTATCTAGGTTCTTGTGGCCCAAGTTTTAGTTGTGTCTTGCGCCAAGGTTTGCGTTGTTCCTAGGATGCCGTCGTGGTCGTTTCTATGGCGGGTTGCCTACCTTAGCTAAGAGAGAGCCACTGATGATATATGTCTACATGTATGATGTAAGTATCATGTTGCATCCTGTGGCCATATTTCACTCCATCGACCTCATAGTAAGAGCATTGTTAATATAATATAATATTGCATCTGCCGTGCCCGGTATTTTATTGCTTTCTAAGGCTCTAAGCCCAATCTTTGCAAAATCCAAACCCAACTTTCTACCTGTCGCAACCGCGCGTCAACTCTTTTATCAGCGCAATCTGCTAAGTCTATCTATACGTCATGACCAACAAAGGTAATGACTCTTGCGCTGTTTCTATAGAACTTATAGCTCTAAACTCAATCTTCGGTTTGCAGGTCCTGCTAGTGACGGGCTTGTCCAAGGATCTTGTCTATTCTTGTGCTGCTGGCCAACTTGATCAGCTGCACAGCTTCCTGGAACAAGCTCAGAATTGATTTGCACTCTATCCCAACACCGGATTATCTCCTGCGGATAGCGGCCAAAAGTGGCCAGGCAGGAGTGCTTCACCACCTCTTCGACTCCTTGCCCGAGTGTCGCCATCGAAGACCATGGCTTCCCAACCTCCCGGATAGGGTCAACTGGGATGAAGTTCCACAGAAGTGGGAGCCTGAGCTAGACGGGGTAGCAGCACATGCCGCTATCGAAGGTGCTGATCCTATCAAGCTCTTCGAAGTGTTCTTCGACTATGGTATGAGCGTCAAACATCACCTGGAGCGGGCGATCTCTCTACTCGCGTGCGCGATTGGGTACAACAAGTTCGAATTTGCAAAGTTTTTACTCTAAAAGGGGGCGAATCCCAATGGTCGATATACATTTGAGAGGAATGATTTCCTTGGCGCGGTAGCTCTCTGACTCAAAGCCACGACTTTGCTGATACTTTTTGCGGATGCAGTGCTTTTCTAGGTAATTGAAGCATATTGCACATCTGGTTTTAGTCCTCAAGAGAGCGACGACAGTGGATATCACAAAGCCAAGAATAACGGGGTTCGTACTATCATAGGTCGTTCGTAGAATGGAGTTTGCGGACTTTAGTACCTTGTATTAGCCTGGTCGCGAGTATCGACTATCCAGGTTAGTGGTTTCGGGTACTAAGCGACCTGGGGTATTAGTAGCGTGTATTACGGAAGTAGCCTCGCGAGTATCAACTAAACTAGTTAGTGGCCTCGGGTACTAAGCTCGAAATAGCAAAGTATGGACAATTGAGGCTACCGTAAGGTACTCTAAGATATAATTCCACGACCTACATTCGCATGCGCACATGAACATTGCCTACCTACCGTATGATAGAAATCAGAGTAGAGTTTGCGGACTTTGATAGAACATTAACTCCGTGGTATTTAGCCTAGTCGCGAGTATCGACTAAATGGGGAGGTAGATTCGGGTGCTAAGCTCAAAATACATAATTCCACGACCCTGATGGAAATCGGTGGCCTGGCTGTTAAGTCCGCTGCGCGGTCGTCAATGGGACATTTGCTGTGTCTAGCCCTGTCAGGAAATACTCTCGAGATGTGTATCTCTGCCAAACTCTTTGTGTCCAATGGTAAGAGATGCTTATTCTCAGGACGAGCTTATTTGTAAGTCCGTTGATTGAGTCGATCCCGATTCACAGCTGGATTCCTCTGCCTACCTATATAAAAGGCTTCTTGCATGCGGATGCTGTAGACAACATCAAAACTCCGTGAACGTTTACCTTAGATTTGAAAACTTGTTCCAGCAAGAAGATGCCTGCGCCACCCGTTCCCGCCTCGCTGCAAAGCAGCGTGAATGCCACCAAAGTCGAGTATGTCCAGCTGGGCTCCTCCGGGCTTCGAGTGTCCGTACCAATCCTCGGTACTATGGGTATTGGCAGTAAGGACTGGCAGGATTGGGTGATGGAGGAAGAAGAAGGGTTGGAGATATTGAAAGCGGCCTGGGACAGAGGTAAGTAGGACATGTGGAATTTGGAAATATACTGAAGATCTGTAATTGAACCAACGATAGGCCTCTCAACCTGGGATACCGCCAACGTCTATTCTAGCGGCATAAACGAGGAGATCATTGGGAAAGCAATAAAAAAGTTCGAGATACCCCGGCACAAACTTACCATCTTGGCCAAGTGCTGTGGAACGGTCCCAGAGGAACCGGGCATTTTCAATTGGCCATTTGAGGCGCAGATGAAAAAGAGCAAAGACTATGTCAACCAAGGCGGTGAGCAGCTCTGTGTCGATATGAAGGGTCGTCCGAAAGGTGCTTGTGCTGACTATTTTGGGCTGGTAGGTCTATCACGCGGCGCGGTTTTCAAAGCCGTCGATGCCTCGCTCAAGCGTCTCGGAACAGACTATATGGACCTTCTCCAGATCCACAGATACGATGCCTCGGTTCCTCCGGAAGAGACCATGAAAGCGCTTCACGACCTCGTCCAAGCCGGCAAAGTCCACTACATTGGCGCAAGCTCCATGTGGACGTACCAATTCGCCCGCATGCAATTTATCGCTGAGAAGAATGGCTGGACGAAATTCGTGAGCATGCAGAACCGGTACAATCTATGTTATAGAGAGAAGGAAAGGGAGATGAACAAGTTCTGTAACGAGACCGGTGTGGGCTTGATCCCATGGGGGCCTTTGTTCTCAGGCTTGCTGGTACCGCACGGCTTGCCTGAAATTGTGGACGGCCATATGAAGTACGCCCTTGTCGATTGGTGTTACTCTCAGCCTCAATCTATCCTCGGTCTCGCGATATTTGCAGTATCACATGCTACATTTGGGCGGGCCCGAAGAAGTCATGCTGCCTTGGCTGTAGGCAGTACGAAGTACTCAAAAGCTCTGGTGAAGACCAATTTGGCATTAAAAGATGCAAGTGAAGCAACACACGACGAGGTGCTCCTTGCTATAATGCTTTTAAGCTTCTATGAAAACTCTGTGATGGAGAAGACGTCGCACGTTTCGAGTCGAGGTATCCAAGCCATGGCTTCACGAAGTTTTACACACCATGATGGCGCAATGGCTGTGCTCAACTTGCGACGGCAGCTGGACCAGCGCACCAACTATAGCATGGGGCTGGACAAGCTGGTCCGACGCCAACTGATGCGGTCATTGCTCTTACGAAGCATGTCTCTACCATCTTGGCTTCAAGATGGTTCGCAATACGGAGAACACGGATTCGCACTTGAACTGGACCGTTGTATGGTGGGAGCCGCTAAGCTACGACATCAGGCTAGCAGCCTATCTGTTGATTTCGCAAGTCTTTCAATATCAGACAGATATGATGAGATGGTGAGACTTGGCCGTCTATTGGCAGAAGCTCAGACTCTGGACAATGTTCTGGTCATCTGGGCGAATGATTTGCCTACAGAAAACTGGTACAGCACCCGTACTGTACAAGACGATGAGATTGGCAACAGGATTCTCGATGGCACTGTTCACATCTACCATACCGTGGGACATGCAGGAATGTGGAACCGCTACCGCGCCCTCCGCCTCACCGTCAACGATACCATGCTCAAGACTCTGTCCGTGCTCGCAGAATCTTCAGATTCTGACACAGAGTCTCTGGAAGAAGCTGTCAAGTTGAGAATCCAGCGCTTAGCCGATGATCTCTGCGCAAGTGTGCCGTACATGTTAGGACTGATTGAACCGCATGACGTGGCCGGGCATGATGTTACTGTCGTCACCAAGACTCCCGCTTCCCCAAAACAAGCTGTCAAAGCTACCACAGCCGCTTTCCTTTGCTGGCCACTGACCATGGCAACTATGGTATCCGGAATACCGGAGCGACATCAGCGTTATTTGAGGAATCGCTTGCTCGACGTAAGCGAGATCGTCGATGATGGTGTGTTGGAAAGAATTGCAGCTGATTTCTCCTCAATATCGCACTGATCTGCGAATGTACCACGAACGGTTGTTTCAAGACTTTGGTTTCGGGACTACACGGTGCTACAGCTGGACGGCAAGACCCTTGACCAGAGTTGACCCGCCAGCGGGTTCGTTGGGTCAGCCCAATTGGAATGTGCAGAGTTTCGAATGGCGGCCTGGGAGCAGGTGAAATCGGTCTGGAAAGAGGCATTCCAGGACTCCACCTCCACGTTCTGGCCTTCACCAAGTCCTCGAACCGATTTGCGCTCGGAAGAGAAGAGACGGTCTGGTTGGACTTTGTCCTGCTGCTAAGGTCGAGAGTGAAGACGACGGGCTCAAATCCGGAGGTGAGGGAAGTCATGAACACAATCACCGGCCACTGCGATGTCGTACGTTTTGGCTCTGAAGGCAGGCCAGACGCTCCAAACCCAGCAGCAGTTGCCGGAGATGCGGCGTCAAACATTCCAAATCCTTCCAACTGGCCTAAGAGGGTCCGGTGAACCAAACGGCCTGGAACTGTCCAATTTGCCATATTCTGAAAAATCAAAGTCGCCTCATATAAACTGTGAGATAGCCCATCGTACATCCGCAGACGCAACATTGAATTTGTTCAACTGGTTCAGGCTTGTTGAGGGAGGCATTTGGCTTGCTGATGGAAACATTAATGCTATCAATGCTACAGCAGTGAGACAGATACAGTCGCATCCATGGGTTAAGAGAAGACGAAGAAGATGAACTTCCTATAGAACATGAATGATGAATCGTGACGAGACCTCGCAAAGACATAAGCCACTCGACCAGGACTTAATTAGGAGCTGGCAGGTGCAAACATCCGCCAAATTTCATGACGAAGTAGACCTAGTAATTGTGGCGTGCACTCGACAGCATGGACTCATTAGTAGAATACAGAAATCGAATGAAGCTGACCTGGGATTAATAAAGGGAAGTAGCTTGAGATTTGTGCCATGTCTACTTGTAACAGTGAACGGCTTCGTCCTCTTCCAGCCATCTTTGAAGTTTTTTGGTGACTCCGCCAAAGATTCTTGGTCGATTCGAAGTCAAAACCTCTCTTCCCTTTGTGAATGAACAGATCGTGGAAGAGGCAGTGGAGGTATGAGTGACCAAGGAGTCGGAGGAGCACAGATGCTCAAAATATAGAACAGACCCGAGTGGAAGCTCCCTCCACAGCTTCTGTGTTGTTCTTTTCTTCCTCAAGACAAGCTTCTGCCTTCCATCCGGGTTCGTCGCCTTGGGACCTTGCCAAGGTAGCGAGCTGCGAAGACTGTCACAGAACTCGTATTTCCTTGCCTGCCCTCGCCGATGAATAGGTTCTCTGGCTTGACATGTCGATGAACGATTTTCCGAATGAAGGCAGTCGACAGTTGAGCCAGTATAAGAACCCGTTTTAAGCGAAAACCTGCGGTTGCACAAGATTAAAGCCACACTGTAGAGCCACACTGTAGAGCCACACTATAGATAGAGCCACATCATAAAGCCACACCTCACAGGAAATAAGATCCCCGCACTTGAGACAACCCTACGTACAACCCTATAACCCGACAACGCCATCAAAGTGGCCGCGATGCATCAATCATCGCTCAAAAGACGCGAAATGAAGAAATCGTAAGTGTTTGCCTCGGATCCTCGCCCCGAACAAGACGGCCTGAGAATGCCCGTCCAGGCCCCGTCATGGGATTGGATGCGTCGAGGGGCCGGTGGACACGGGAAAGCGAGGTCCCCAAGCACGCCATCGAGGAGGAATCCATCTCTCCCGTAGGTACGAGAGAATTGCCCCTCAGCTCGTCATTCATCTCCACCCCGCTTCAAATTCCTCTCCTCCCCTCTCCGCTCCCCTCTCTTTTCTTTTTTCGCTCTTCTCTTTTCTTTTTGCTGGACCCCAAAGTCTTTCCTTGAAGCTTTCTCTTCCGTCTCTCCATCTCTCCATCTCCCCATCTCTCGCCCCACTGAACCCGCAATCTCCTTCCATTCATCATGGCCCCCCCAGAGAGCACTCATTTCGAGACTCTGCAGCTTCACGCTGGGTAAGTAGTAGCAAGCAGCCTTCCACAGCCCCCCGAGACGAGGCTGATACCCGTCGCAGTCAGGAGCCAGACCCTGCCACCAACGCACGAGCTGTGCCCATCTATGCCACCACGGTCAGTCAACCAGGAGTGCTATGTCTCCACGCTTCGCCCGCTGATTCGTATAGAGCTTCACTTTCAATGACTCCGCCCACGGCGCCAGGCTGTTTGGCCTCCAGGAGTCTGGAAACATCTACAGCCGGATCATGAATGTACGTTTGCATGCCCCCTCTTCTAGAAACCTAAGCCCACAGTTCCACCTATACTTGGTGGAATCTGCTTGTGCGGCCAATTCTTCCACTTCTTCTGCGGTTGTTGGGGGGAGGAAAGAAAAAAGCAATACAACAGGAACCCACCAGCCTCCTGCATCGGTTTCACATCCAATTGATGACGACGACTAACCTTGCACGCAACAGCCCACTGTCGATGTCTTCGAGAAGCGATTGGCGGCCCTGGAGGGTGGAGCCGCCGCTGTCGCAGCAAGTTCTGGTCAGGCGGCCCAGTTCATGGCCATTGCAGCATTGGCACATGCCGGGGACAATATCGTCTCAACGACCAACCTCTACGGCGGAACCTACAACCAATTGAAAGTCTTCCTCCCGAGACTGGGCGTCGAGACCAAGTTCGTGAATGGAGACAAGGCAGAGGATTTCGCGGCAGCAATTGACGAGAAGACCAAGGCTGTATACATTGAAAGCATTGGGAACCCAAAGTACAACATCCCAGACTTTGAGGCAATTGCTAAGGTAGCACATGAACATGGCGTTCCACTTGTTGTAGGTGCCACCTTGCCCCCTTTACTTTCCAGATTGCTCACTTCCTAGGTTGACAACACTTTCGGAGCTGGTGGATACTTCGTTCGTCCCATCGACCACGGTGCCGATATTGTCGTTCATTCAGCCACGAAATGGATTGGTGGTCATGGTACAACAATTGGAGGTGTGGTCATTGATGCAGGGAAGTTCGACTGGGGCAAGCATGGCAAGCGATTTCCGCAGTTCGTCGAGCCGTCTCCAGGCTACCATGGATTGAAATTCTGGGAGGCAGTTGGTCCAATCGCATTCGCTGTTCGGGTCCGAGTCGAGGTTCTTCGTGATTTAGGAAGAAGCACTCTCAACCCATTCGCTGCCTTCCAACTCATTCAAGGTATCGAGACGCTGAGCTTGCGTGCCGAGCGTCATGCACAGAATGCCCTGACCTTGGCTCGATGGCTCGAGAAGAACCCCCATGTCTCTTGGGTTTCGTATCCTGGCCTCGAGAGCCATCCTTCTCATGAACTTGCTAAGCGATACCTCAAAAGGGGATTTGGCGGTGTTCTAAGCTTCGGTGTAAAGGGTGGCGGAGCTGCTGGTAGCCAGGTTGTTGATGGCTTCAAGTTAATTTCCAACCTGGCCAATGTTGGTGATTCCAAGACACTCGCCATTCACCCATGGTCTACCACCCATGAGCAGCTGACCGAAGAAGAGAGGATTGCTTCCGGTGTTACTGAGGTAAGCATTCCACTCTTTTCTCTAAGTGACTTTGGGAAGGAGACTAACGTTTGCAGGATCTCATCCGTATCTCCGTCGGCACAGAATACATTGACGATATCATCGCCGATTTCGAACAGTCGTTCAAAGCAGCGGCGGCAGCGAAGACCACCGGCGGGGAGGAGAAGAACGTGGTAGTTACAGGCAGCTCTGATGCAGATGCCAAACTGGTTGTCTAATCTCGTTTTGTCGTATTCTGATTCGAAAGTTTCATCACTATACCACTTCTGCGGCATCCAAAATTCATGGGGATGGCTCGATTGATATTTGAGGCGCATTGAGGTTGCCTTTTTGAATATCTTGTTGGAGGTTGGACGGGATCAAAGAGAGTTGCGAATTCAAGGTGGTGGTTACGAAGCAACGAATAATGCCTCAAGTTACGCATTGCCTGTTAAAATTCTCAATACCAATCTGATAGTTGATTTCTCTTCCCTGGCTCTCCCCAAGTCTATGTCTCCTAGCTCTTGCGATTACCATACTTGTCGAGTGGTAAGCACAAAGGAGACTGAAACTCACTGATGACGCAGATATCACCATCACATAGTACATCCATATAGTGGGAAGTATATTCCACCCAAAAGCTGTACACTCTGTTTCCCTGATGGGGTTTATGTGATGTGGGTTCCCATCTGCCCCTTGTGTTAGGGGAGTTCCAAAGAAGATGTCACTTCATTGTCACTTCGTTGTTTACTGCTGTGTATTTTCATACTATCATCCTCACCAGACCTCGCCCTTCTAGCCGCGTTCTGGTACGCGTTGTTCGCGACAGATTGTTCGCCTACTCGATCTCATAGTGAATTTGAGTACCAGCGAGATCTCTTCGAGCTTCTCGATCTCACCCACCACAACCTCTACACCTCAAGGGATACAGCAAAAACCAAGACGAGAGCACAACGAAAGCAGTACGAAAGCAAAACGAAATCCTCATCATCTCAAGGTCCATCAATCAGCTATCGAAAAACCTACCTCGAAAACCCTACACGCACAGAATCCTCTCCCAAGATGTGCATCCAACACTGGATCCAATACGTGTGCGGCCACAACAAGTTTGTCGAGGACGAGAACTGCCTTGGCCACCACCCAACCGACCACCGCTGCTATGGCATTGGCTGGCGCATCCAAATCCACAGGCCGAAACCTGATCGTCTGTGTGAGGAGTGTAGGAAGACGCCGCAGCAGAGATGGCGACGCCGACCAAGTCAGTGCAACGGAGGACCAGAGAACGGACACGGTGCGGCAGAGGCCTAAGTGCGTGGATTGATGATAGCATTTTATCAGGAATTGGCAATGGTCTCTGGAATGGACGTTTCTTCAGCAGATACGGTGTTCAGAAAGCTTCCTATCGACGTCTAGGCATGGTGTTGGTGGTCGGTTTGTTTGGGAGGGATTTGCTTGTTATTAGGTCAGGCCGAGTATCTTGCATGGCAAAGTACTAGAGATGGGACATCTCTAGCAAATGCAGTCTTTGAAAACTCCCTGTCGGCATCTGGGCATGGTGTTGGTCGGTCTGTTTCGGAGGGAGTTGCTTGTTGTTAGGCCAGGTCAAGTTTTTACATGGGAATGCCCTAAGGGGTACATTTGAAAGGACGGATAGGAAACATCAAAACTTTCGCCACCATGCTTTTGCAGTGGCTTCTTCTAAACAAATTGCATTGCTTTGGTGTATTGTGTGGTGATTTTAAGGACTGATGCGAACAAAAGGGGGGCGCATCCTTGATTACATAACCCAGTCAAGCAATCACCTTTCACTGGAATTCACTTCTCTTCTTTTTTTGTATCGCTGCTTACCATTTAACAGGCTTAGGCACTTCTTTTAGTATCCTTTGATTTCAGCTTATCTTCTCGCTTTATGACATCTGGTTACTTGAGAGGCTGTTCCATACTACTCGATGGTTTCATAGCTGCTCTGAAGTCGCGAGGCATCTTGATGCAGGGTTGGTTCCAGGCTATAGCCTATCTATGTCTATCGTCTCTACCTGGAACGTGCTGTCAGGCGGGTGCTCTACGCCGGGTTATTGTCTCTAGTTGAGATTCGATGACTATAGCGTTCTTCCTTGTCCAATTTGTATTTCCTCCTGTCCGTCTCTCTTTTTTTTGTTGTTAGACAATTCTCGATGCGAAATAGTGGCAAAGGTACTACAGCAAGGGCTGTAGCTCAGCTCTCAATACTAGTGAGAGATTGAAGTCCGAGTAAAAGATACACTCTGGTCACCAAGGGGAATATTGCGATCTCTCTGTGGGTTCTCGTTACGTTCACTTGAAGTTATCAGCTTTGATATGATAAGGATATATCAAATATACCTATCTCAGGTATATAGGTATATGTCTTTTTTAATGGTACATGTGGAGACGATTGCGGGGTTACGTACAGGGGCCCAATGCTGGTCTTTGCCCATGGGGAACATACCCCATAAGTCATCGTTTCTCCCCTCACATTCGGCTTCATTATGCATGACCCCAGGATCATCAAATCTTCACGTGGATTGTACGTAAACCCGAGCCTCGGTTTTCTTCTGCTTCTTCTTTGGTCCTCTCCGCTGTGATGTGCCTCGAGATGAATAGAGTTTTTGCGGAGGCGGGGTTCTGCCCTGTCGACCTGGTTTAGGAGAATTAATGCCGGTAGTTAAGATTAACTCGCTAGAAGTCAGAGCGAGAGAGATCAATAATCCCAGGATAGAGGGATAGGAAGGCAGGGTTGTCATGGCAGGAGTCTGGGTTAGCAGATATGGGAATATTTAAGTACACAAAGCTTCCCTAAAGCACAGTCCTTGAATGTTTTGCTAACCATCTTCTCGGCTCTACTTTCGATCGGAAAGACATACACGAGCAAGGCATATCATGGAGCCGTTCATCTATATACTGGGATTCGTCCTGGCATCAACATCCTCTGTTCTTGCCGTTACCCAGGGAATCTCGTCTACGCTGCTAGATCGGTTTGAGCAAATGGCGACTATCTGTATGTCGACCTATGTTGAAGATGTCTGCGTTTTGCCGGGTGGTCTCTCGAAAGTTGCGACGATTACCAACAGCACAACTGATATCCACGGCTGGATCCTCCGAGACGATACCGCCGGCGAAATCATCACAGTATTCCGCGGCACAGAGAGTATCCAGAACTATGAGACTGACACCAATTACACACTCGCTGATTTCAGTACGTTCCCAGCCTGTCAGGGTTGCCAGGTTCATGGAGGATATTATCTGGCCTGGGTCTCTGTTGTGGACCAGGTTCAATCACTCCTGCAAGAAGAAGCTTCCCGCTATCCGGACTATGGAATTGTGATTACAGGGCACAGGTAATTCACACCTTATCGAGACCATACAATGAAGACCTAATTCTCCAGCTTGGGGGGTTCTCTGGCTGCACTAGCCGCGGCTCAATTCTCGTCACTTTTCGAGAATCTTACCGTCTATACCATGGGTGAACCCCGTACTGGGAACCCAGCTTTCGCCTCTTTCATCGACGAGACCTTCCAGACCTCTAGTCCCGACACAACGAAATTCTTCCGCTGTACGCACGAGAATGACGTATGCGACCCATCTTCACCTATCTAGTCTGAGATAACTGTCGTCTGTATGCACTGTACTGACAGTGCCCCACACAGGGTATTCCCAACGCTCCTCCCACGAGTGATGGCTATGTTCATCACGGCCTCGAATATTGGAATCGGGACCCAACGAGCACAGAGACCAGCTACGTCTGTGGTGGAGAGACGCTGGATTGCTGCAGTGGGCAGAACGGCTCGGGAATCAACGCTGCACATCTTGTGTATTGGGGTAAGCCGGTCGCTCTGGGGGCACAATGCGTTTGATCTATACCCTGTACGCAGAACGGTCTAGGAGATGGGCACCTTGAGTGAACTCAGCGATCAATCAGCCGCTCTCTGGCACAACAGAAGATATGAACGATGAAGCAGGAAAGGGGGGATATGCTGTGAATAAGAAAAGCATTTCTATGTGGGAGTACAGCTCAAGGTACCCAGAGGGTTCCTGGGTTCAAACAACTAACTGATGACTCTAGTCAACCGATGGTGATTTTTATACCTAGGTAAAATCCTCCTCCATCTGTAAGTCATTTGACTTGAAGCTTTGCGGTACAAAGCAGGTAGTGAGAGTAAGATTGAGAAATGTTTGTTCTCCACTTCCTTGGAGTTTGAAGATGTACTTTGACAAAGAAGTGTGAACTTTTGGTGCAGGATAATGATCAGGTGACCGGCATCTTTATACCTCTCCATGATATCCTCCTTATGTTAATTACAGTATTATGATTAGGCCTTACTATTATTAGGTATAGTTGAAACTTGACACGAGCTGTAATAAACGTCCGGCCTTCTTTGCGGAGCAGGTCAACGTCTAGCTTGACCATGGGACTTTTCTTCAATGCGTATTCTCAAAGCGGCAAACGCTCCGGAGTGGTCCTGTAGTGATTGGCGGAGGCCGAGACCATCCACATGCCAACCAATACGGAGCTCACAGTGCGGTATTGCGGTGCTGCCGGTGTTTCTCGGACTGCAAGCGGCGGCGGATAGGACCCGTACATGTGATTCTGCCCGTCGCCAACGTCGCCTGGCTTGGGACACCGAGATGAAGATGCGGATGAGGGCGACGAAGACATCGGGATAGAGCACATAGTCTAGATACTAAAGTCTCTGGCTTCCCTCAACTCTTGCTCGGGTTATCAGGAATCTCAGGAATCTCAGGGCTCAGGAGCAGGAGGGCTCAGGGGTTGGAATTGGAATTGGAGTTGGAGCCTTGGAGCCTTGCAGCCCGCCAGAGCCTTGCAGCCTGATATTGAACGTGTGGGCCTGCCTCGGCATGATTTGGCCCTAGGCCCAAAGATTCGACTCGTGGAAGACCCAGCCTTCCCAGCCGATTGATCTCTGACGACGCCTCGCTCCTGATCCTCACTCTTCTTCTTCTTTTCTGTCGTTCTCTACCCCAGATTGCTTCTTGTTTATATACCCTCGTTCTACATCCCGCTGTGAACGCCAGAGATCCCCCCATCTGCCTACCACTCCGTCAAGCATATCTCCCCCCTTTCCCCCCCGAGTCATGGCTCCAGCACGCCACGACCCCGATGCCTATGCAAAGGCCTTGCACGCTCCTCCGCCGCCTGGCTCCCCTTTCTCCCTCCCCGTCCCCAACAGCGAGCGTGAAGGCCGCAGTGCTGTCTATAGGCATTGGCGCTTCGTCGACCAGCCTCTTCTGCAGACCATTGACCCCGATGTCCTCACGGCCCACGATTCGTTCGAAGCTTCGGTGAAGAAGACGCCCAATGCCAGGTGCTTGGGGGCAAGGCCGTGGGATCCGGTCACCAAGACCTTTGGCGACTACCAATGGCTCACATACTCCGAGGTGGCGCTCCGGAGGAAGAACTTCGGGGCGGGATTAGTCGAACTGCACAAGAAAGCGGGCGTTACCCAGGACAGACAGTATGGTGTTGGTCTCTGGTGCCAGAACAGACCGGAATGGCAGATTTCAGGTGCGTTGGGATGGGAGCAATGTTGCAGGCCGGTTTTCGACTGACTGCTATGTCTAGATCTGGGGTGCATGTCCCAATCTCTATTTACCGTCTCCATCTACGATACTCTTGGTCCAAACACGACCGAGTACATCATTAACCATGCATCTCTTGTTTGCGTTATCGCGACGCTCTCCCACATTCCGACGCTGCTCAAGATTGCCCCTCGGTGCCCTACACTAAAACTTATAATCTCTCTAGATCCGCTGGATGCAGGGGAGCGGCCGGGCAACTCTAAAGCTGCCATCTTGAACGCGCTGGCAGCCGACAATGGGATATCGATTCATTATATTGAAGATGTTGAGGCTATTGGAGCAGCTTCGGGTGCGCCCATGAGACCGCCCAAGCCGGAGGACATCATCACCATCAACTATACTTCGGGGACCACTGGCAATCCCAAGGGAGTGGTCCTGACACACGCAAATGCAACTGCGGCCACGGCCACAGCACGAGTTACCACTGATAGCAAGCCCACAGATGTGATGATTTCCTATCTACCCCTGGCACACATCTATCAAAGACTGGCAGAACACAACTTCCTCTCAGCCGGGTCTTCCATTGGCTATTTCCATGGCGACACCCTTGGTCTTATTGATGACATGAAGCTGTTGCGCCCCACGACCTTCAACTCCGTTCCTCGTGTCTACAACCGTTTTGGGACTGCTATTCGCGCCAACACGGTTGATGCCACAGGGCTGAAAGGGGCCATTGGACGTCACGTCATTAACAACAAGCTCGAAGCCATGAAACTCCCCCCTGGAAAGGCAACGAACAGACACATCCTCTGGGATCGTATTTACACCCCCAAAATAACCAGTGCTGTGGGCCTGCAGCGAGCCCGCGGCATGGTCAGTGGAAGCGCACCCCTTGACCCCACACTGCATCAGTTCCTCCGTGCGGCCTTCGGTAATGATTTCATCCAGGGGTACGGGTTAACAGAAACCTACTCTGTGGGCCTGGCCCAAACTGAAAATGATTACTCGACTGGTAACTGTGGTGGTCTTGCACCCGGGGATGAAGCATGCCTCGTATCCGTCCCGGATATGGATTACTTGGTCACAGACAAGCCCAACCCTCGCGGCGAGCTCTTGATACGGGGCAACACCCGCTTCCGCGAGTACTTCAAGAACCCAGAAGAGACAGCCAAATCCATCGACGCAGATGGGTGGTTCAGCACTGGTGACATTGCCGAGGTCGACAGCCTGGGACGATTCAAGATTATTGATCGCCGGAAGAACGTCCTCAAGCTCGCCCAAGGAGAGTACATCTCCCCCGAGCGTATCGAGAATGTGTACCTCGCCAACTGCAATCTCCTGACGCAGGCCTTTGTCCACGGCGATTCCACCCAAGCCTTCCTCGTCTCGGTCCTCGGGGTCGACCCCCAGACCTTCGCCCCCTTCTGCAGCAAGATCCTCGGCAAGTCCATCTCGCCCACCGACCTGGACGCCATCAAGGGGGCCTCCCGCGACCCGCGCGTGCGCAAGGCCGTCGTGGCTGAGCTCGACAAGATCGGCAAGAAGAACAAGTTTAACAGTTACGAGCGGGTCCGCAACGTGCACCTCGAGCTTGAACCCTTCACCATCGAGAACGAGCTTCTGACCCCCACGTAAGCCTCCCCCCTTTTTTACCCCTAGCTCCCAGGATCCCGCCCTGACTAACCCACCCCGCGCACAGTCTGAAACTCAAACGCCCACAGACGGCGAAGAAGTTCCGCCAGGAGATAGACCGCATGTACGAGGAATCACTGGCCTTGGAGGCGCCACGCGCGAAACTGTAGTTAATTCAGGGGAATCCTATCATAGTGAAGACCAGACCAGATCAAAGATCCTTTCTTTTGGAGAGGAAGAAGTGACTGGTGTAATCGCTCTGTTGGCGGCTTTGGCTTTGGCTTTGGCTTTGTACGAATATCCATGCTATGCTATGCTATGTCTTTCGTTCCCTTCAAACCTACCTAGATACATGACTGCATACATATACCTCTTTTGTAGATGAAAAGGCAGAATTCCCGGGAGGAAGAGAGCAAGAAATGAAGCCTCAATTCCCCAGGGGTTGGGGTGGGAAAGTGATATCTGGATCTATCTGATATAGTGTGATGTAGGCTAGGAATGAACATGAGTCGCTTTCATCCGTTCATACGTTCATTCTTTTACTCTTTGTGTTTTTCTCGGGGTTCATTTACTATTGGGGGTGAGAGTTGAGAGAAGTTGGAGGGGTGATATATGATATATAATGAGACCAAGCCTCCAAGTCATAATCAAGCGCATTCGATACTATGATTCCAAGAATGTATGTATTATTAAACTTCTAGAAGGAACATTTGGTTCCGGGTATGTGAAAAGACGAGAGAACCTACGGAGCGGTGCTCTTTTTGAAATCCTGTCATCGGTAGGAACCTTCTAATCTACAAACCGACGGACACAGGAAATTCTTCTTTTCAAAAATAGCTCTTCACGCCCCTTCTCGCCTAAACGATTGTACATTGCAATGACGTGCAATTCCTGTAAGACCAAGCCATCTGTTACTCTGTAAGCGCTCACCAACCTGCCAAACGCGCTTGTTTCGAGTCTGGACTTCTTTATGCGAAGGGACTTTATACTTATGCGGACTTCTCGTGCTACTTATACGGACTTCTCGTGCTGGGTGGAGACACGTTGAAGCGAGACCACTAAGGAGCATGTTAGCAACGCTTAGCGAGGATGCATGATGCTCAGACTTACCGAAATCCTCGAGTGATCGTTGCTTTTGGTTCTTCTTAGGTGACTTTCCGTGCATGATGTTGTCGAAGCCGACACTGTCTTGTAGGAGATAGTAAACACCTCCCATGATGCAGAAGACACCGAAGGAGAAGATCCAGACACGGACGACAGCGACGATAGAAGTCCGACCACCAACGAACCAACCGAAGAGGGTGAAGAAGGTTGCGATAACATCGACGACCAAGATAGCAACGGTTAATTGCCACGAGGGGAGGGACGACCAGAATGGGCCGTTGGCACGAGTGATGAAGATCAACCAGTTTTCGGTCAGGGAGATCTCCAAGAAGACAATCTCGTCGAGGACACCAAAGTTCTGAACGATCCCACCGTCCTGGCCACGGGCGATCATGGTGGTGAGGGTGATCCAGGTTCCAACAGCGAGAACAACACCGAGGAGCACCGATGTGCCCCATAGCTTGGGCAAGTTCCACTTCACAGGGGTCTTTGAGTATGGAGCATGATCGTAGGCAATTGCCAATGTAGCAACGTCAGCGAAGATGGCGATAAACACGACTAGCTCAATGTTCAGAGATCGGTTCAAGATGGCAATCCAGAGGCCAAGGAATATCTCCAAGTGGATCGACAAGGCAATACGGTAGACAACATAGGCGTACATGCGGTGAAAGATCTGTCGGGAGGTCTTAAGAGCATCAATAATAGCCCCGAGACCGGGAGCTAGAAAGACAATGTCAGCGGCGGAACGAGCAGCGTCAGAAGCGCCCTCGACAGCAATGCCAGTATCAGCCTTTTTGAGCGATGGGGCATCGTTGACGCCGTCACCAGTCATAGCAACGAGGTACCCTCGCTGTTGGAGGATCTCCACTACGTTGAATTTATGTTGGGGGAAGACCTCAGCGAATCCATCAGCAGCCTCGACGAAATCATAGACTTCCGAACCTGGCATGTCCCCACCACCCCCAAGTCCAAGTCGCTCAGCGTTGTAGACGTTAGTACCGAGACCGAGTTGGCGGGAGGTCTCGCGAGCAATGCCAACAGCGTCACCCGTCAACATCTTGATTGAAAGACCGAGAGTCTTAGCCTCATTAATGGTGCGAGCAGTGTCGTGTCGGGGAGGATCAGAGCAAGGCATTATGCCAAGAATCTCCCACGAACCTTCACCGCGCTTACGTGCAACACCGAGGGAACGGAAACCTCGAGTAGCGAATTCAGCGACTTTGTTCTTATAGGCTTGGTCAATCTCCTCAGGAATGGGGTGATCTTCCTCGACAGTCTTCAGAACAAAAAGCGGTGCACCCTTGACGCAGATGATACGCTCACCTTGCGGTGACTCGACAACAGCTTGGACCTTCTTAGAAACGGGGTCGAAGGGGTGGAATTCGATCACCTTGTACTTGGAAAGTACGGACTTGGCGCGGGGGTAGAATCGGAGAGCCTTCAAGAAGGCTTTGTCAATGGCGTCGATACCTTTCTTCTTGCGGGAGGCTGCGAGACAGGCTGTCAGCATAAGGTCATCGGGCTCTACGCCTTCAACAGTGAAAGGGTCAGCCAGAGAGAGCTTGTTCTTGGTCAGAGTACCGGTCTTGTCAGAGCAGAGGATCTCGACACCGGCAAGGGACTCAATGGCCGAGAGTTTCTGAACGATTGCCTTTTTCTTGGCGAGATGAGCAGCACCGACGGCCATGGTTGTGGTGACCACAGCCGGGAGGCCAACAGGCACACCGATAATGGTGATGGCAAGAGTGTACTCGAGGATGGTAACGATTGGGTTGGACCGGTAGAAGGAAGAGACCCAGACCACCAAGTTGGTGAAGATGACCAAGACCAGAAGAACCGTCCCAATACCGTTCAAGACTTCCGTGAAGTGGCCTGTTATGCCGGACGCTTGGTTAACAAGCGCTGCCGCACGACCGACGTAAGTGTTGTCGCCAGTTGCGGTAACGACCATGAAGGCCTCACCACGCTTGACACCTGAAGAAGCGTAGCATTGATCACCCTTGTGTCGGTCAACTGCGAGAGACTCGCCCGTGATGGACGATTGATCGATGTGGAGAAAGGCCCCATCGGTAACGATGCGGCCGTCAGCCGGAATGATGGTACCCTGCACAAGGGATTGGTCAGCGCCACTGGCACGCAGATTCGCAGCTCGAGATGGACTTACTTCTTCGATTTGGAGAATGTCACCAGGGACCACTTCATGGGCCTCAACTTCGCAGAGACGGCCGCCACGAAGGACAGTGGCTTTGAGAGCAAGAGTCTTCTTCAGCTCATCGACGATGGAGCCGGCCTGGAACTCCTGTATGAATCCAACGGCTGCATTCAGCAATAGAAGGCCGCAGATAACACCAAAATCGACCCAATCCTCGAGACCGGCAGCGAGCACAGCCGCGGCCTAGAGGTCTTCTGTTAGCACAACGGATCGAGCAGAGGCAGGAGAAGGCATACCTCCATGACGAACTGGATAGGGCCAATGAAGTAGCCACAGAATTTGATGAACAGGTTCTCCTTTTCCTCCTTCATCTGATTCATGCCGTACTTCCTGCGACGGGCGTGCACCTCAGCCTCCGTCAGGCCGATGCGTGTATCGGTCTGAAGCTGGTTGTCTGGCACGACGCGAACAGCTCCCGGGGCAGCATCCTCACGCTCGCCTTGTTCCTCTTCCTGGTGGCCATCCTCTGACTCGAGCTCGTCAATCAGGGCATCCATGTCCTGGTCCTCGTCGTCATCATCACCGCGAGGGGTGTCGGTAACGGTGGACTCCTTGACACGAGGCGTCTTCTCGTCGAAGAGGCCGGACTCGATCTTGGTGTCCAAATGGATGTGGACAGCATCAGATGAGCCAGTAGATGAGTGGGGGGATATATCATCCGGGTCAGCCATTGCGGGCGAGTGATAGGCAGCGAGGAGGTGCTGCCAGAGAGGAAGATAGGCTAGGGAGAGAGAGGAAGAGAGGCAAGCTCTCTTCTATGTTTATTTGGGGTGGATTTTGGTAAGATGCGATACTGTGATGGGATGGGATGAAATGTGAAGTGATGGTGGTGTTGTGTTTTGGAGATGGCGGGTGAGGTGAGTTGAGGGTGAAATTGAGTTGGGATTGTGGGATCTCAAGACCCCGTGATGAAGAAGCAGAGAGCGAAGGGCAACAGCGACGCAGAGCCGCCTGCCTCATAGGGTACAGACCCAGCAGGTCGATATCCCAATGCGGGAAGGACGCGGCTCACGATGCGGCTCATGGCTTAGTGATACCCAAGTGGGTATAGCCTCCCTTCCCATTCTTCCTTCCTTGCTGAGGCTCAACCGTCCTCCGTGGGGAAAGTTGAGCCTCCGCATTGGATGCCTCAGGCAAAGTAAGTAAGACACATCTCTTATGTGTACCTAGGTATGTATATTATACCTAAGGTAGGTCTCGGTGATCATGATGCATCGTCTATGATATGATATGAGCTACCAAGAAGTGACCGAAGAGTGACGGAAGAGTGGCTGAGGAGTACCTATTCAAAGAGCTTGCTCTACACACCAAGATGCAATGTGAGCGTGGCGGAACGTGAAGGTTAGAGGGAAGATTTCAATCTCCTCTCCTATTTTAAGAGCGTTGGGCATGGGCGTGCGCAGTATGTAACAGTAGAAGAGATAGGTACGGGGACGAATAGTGATGAGAGGGCTCACGCTGGCAGTCTCGCATGTCATCTTGATCAGAAAATCTATCAGATTACGAGCTTTTCTTTTAAATTCTAATAAAAATGTTGAAACGTGCTTCTCCCACGCGGAGGACAGACTCTACTGAGCTATCTATGGAAAAAAGCAAAAAGGAAAATAGGCTCGTCCTGTGCGCAATGGCACACAATGATTCCCCCAGACGTGCCTGATGACCATGTGGCAAGAATATCTCCCAGTTAACGCCGTTAATGCTTAGCCGTGACCTTCTCACCCGTCAACTTCTCGACGTAGGTCTTTGCCCTGTGAAAAGATTAGTCAACCAGCTCCCCTTCACAGACACCATTTGCCGGGATAGGACTTACATATCACCCATAGCAACCATACAAATAGTCTGCCAAACGCCCAACCCAATACGAGGCACCACCCCGCGGTACAAGCCCTTGATGCCATTCTGTGAGTAGATATACTTCATGGCAGTCCCGACTGTCATCTTAGCCGGGCGGTTGGGATCCACTGTCTTGCTCTGCATCTCAACACGGATGACCTCAATCGGTTGGTTCCACGCGCTGAGACCTCCACCCAATGCTGATGCGACGATCTTCTCCCACGCGTTCAACGATCCCTCCTTCTTCCCAGTCACCTTCCGGATCCCCTGCTCCGCCAAGCGACTGAGACCAAACCTGGATCCCCAGTTGGTCATCTGCCTGATTGCAACAGCGTTGACCCCCTTGTTAATCCCTCGGATACCCTCCTTGCGGTAGATATCCATGAAGGTGGCAAAGGTTCCTGGGGGCTTGACACCTGCAGCTGCGAGCTTGGACTTGGTGATCTCGACAGTCTTCATGCAGGTGCAGAATCCCATGGTCGCGTATGCTTGTGCAACACCTCCGATGACACCTCCACTGATGCCAGCGGTGAAGTCATTGGCTCCGAAGGTGCGGGCGTAGTATTCGGCTTCGGAGGCAACGAAGAGGAGGACGGCACCCTTGGTAGATGCTTCAATCCAGGCCCAGGGGATCAGACCTTGGTAGACTGTTGTAAACGAAGGGTGCGATTAGCTTGTGCTTAGAAAGAGAAAGGGGAGGGGTGTTCGTACAGCCTAGGATGCCACCTCTGCTCCAAATACGAGCCAGAGCACCAGCAAAGGAGTCTCCTCTGTTGGCGGCCATTGTGGTCTTGGTGACCTCCAACGGCTGACCCAAAGAAGTGACCTACAACGGAGTACGTCAGCACGGCTTAGTTCTATAGGAAATCAAGGGACGCGTGACATGTCCGCATTCCAGGACTGATGGTCCGGGAAGAGGTCGACGTCCCAAGGGACAGGGGAAAGGCTACCTCAAACAGGTTGAGACCAGCCCCAAGCAGCAGATTGCTGAACTTGACGGGCTTCTTCTCTGGGAGAGGCTTTGCTGCGGCGACGGCGGACATCTTTGCGAAGTGTTATATTCAAGGGGCCCTGACCAAGGGAATAGGCTGCTCCGTCGCAAGAAGGTGAAGGTGTAGAGGATGTGGGATGTAAGATGGGAGGATTGTTTGACGCAGGGTATGTTGTTGTTATAACGGGCAGCTGAGAAAGCCTTCGGAGCCGACGAGTTAGGGGTCTTGCTGCTTCGGTAAAGGGCGGGGCGTGGCTATAGAGGGCTGATAGGCCTACCTCGCTGACGGCCACGAGAGAAGCAGTTCGCGACGACCTGAGGCAATGCGACTCCTGGAGGGTGATCGGGACTGCGGCAAGAGGCAGGAGAATAGTAATACTGATACTAACAATAATACAATACAGTTGTTGTCCGCAGAGGCTCGAGTCTTTGAAGCGTACAGTACCGCACGAGGCTGCTGCCCTGATCCATCAGGCCGAACGGCCACTCCACCGACTCCGCAGTGGCTATAGCCTCGGCGCGATTTCCCCAGCGTTGAGTCCGTGTTGAGCTCAGCTTCTCAACTGAAAGTGCCCACGGCTATCACGTGCGTCCGGTAATCCACGGCATTTGCCTAGGTACAGTGCCCGGGTACCGACATGCGCATGTACGGAGTAGGCTGGCTGTCGGATATCCGACGCATCTTCAATATCTTCTGCCTTACAGTCTAGCACGTTCCGCCGAGTGCTTAGAAATTACAGTATATTCCGTTATTTTTAACATCGGCGTTGTATGAGCGTTGAGGCCTAGGTTATTGGGTTTCTCTACTGAATTCCGGGTGTACATTTATTGAGTTGCTATGCCTACCAACACACGAGTTATCAAAACACTCATCTTGCTCTGAAGGAGTAAGGTACCTATTCAAGAGCGGTACATTACCAATTGCCTTTACTGTAGATGTAAGCGATGGATTAGCAGTGTACACTTAAAACCAACAAGGTCCTTTATCCTTCTGTATTGATTCTTACTCTCTCCACCTGCCTTAGACAAACTACCTATGCTTCCTCTTGTTCTTTTACCCTCAACTTGGTATTTTGACCAGATAGTAATCCACGTCTTCTACAATGCCCACGCTAGAAAGCACGCAGAGCGTGGATACTAGACGTTTCATGATGGGTCACTCGCAGACAGTCGCATATCCTCTGCGTACGCGGCAGAGACCTCGGTGATAGATTTTCACGCTCTTGCGAGAAGACATCGTCGAAGAGAATGTCACTCACCTCTCATCGAGAAGCCTTGGCCGTTTGATCGACGTTGGCACGTCGATTTCTAAAGCAGGTGTCAAGAAAGCAAGAACCGATCATGGATGAAAGGCTTCGAAGTTCGGGCTACCTATGGTACATAGCCTTGCATATAATGCTGCAGAGGCCGGGGCCAAGGGCAATTACGATCGGCTGGGCTATCAATGGCAGCTTGGCCGTGTGATCATTGCCCCAACCTCCATCTCCGACGCTGGCTTTGAAGAGGTAAGGAGTGATAACGTGGTAACCTATCCCACAAATTAGCTGAGGCTTCTATGTCACTGTCAGTAGAAACTCTTCGTGCTACTCATAGTAGCCTCACAACTGCTGCAGTGGCTCGGCTCTAGAGCTAGCTCCATAGATGGACCTGCAGGTCGCTCTGCAGGTAGCTTTACGGGTTCTTAACGGGTTAGTAGAGGACTCCGCAAGGAAGAGGTGGTTACACTGCTAACGGACCCGTAGTGATTCTACTGTCAGCTCTACGGCGTTTCAAAGGCCATATACCATCGTTGAATCAGGCACGATATGCTTTCCCAGCCGATCCGGAACTTCACCACCAATAGACTCCTCCCGTGTTGGACAGCCTTTCGCAGAGTACTTTGATCAGGACAAGACCCTCACTTGGCACGCGGGGACGTTTCTGAGAAATACGGAAGCAGCTTCCGACTTTCTCTTGGCCACACTCTGCTGACTTGAAGGGAGGCTGACGATTAATAATTCATTGTGTTCTAACTCATCGATAAACTTATTGTACTACCTTACAGGTAGAACTACCTACCGACTTACAGTGGAGTGGATGTATTCTAGTATAGGTCGACAATAACTGTATTTTAATACGTCAATTAATTGTGTTTTGATCCCTCGTGTACATTTAGTACACTCAAGTTGTAAGGTACCTAGTACTAAGATCCTTACCTAGTGGTTTTATATACTATCACTGGAAATTGCTCGCAAAGGCTCAACGACGTACCTTAACCTAGCCGTGGCTATCAATTAATACAATACTACACTATACCTCGGCGCTTCAAAAAACGTGGCCAAGGGGTCGTAATAAATGTGGACGTCGGAAGGAACGCTGAGAACAAAGTAAAATACAGTGCTATATCGCTCTAATTTCCCCGTCTATGGTTCCACTCCTGTTCGTACAATCTCCCAGCGCCCATCATAGCTCCCCATTTATCAGTACCCCATCTTCAACTCATATCTTACAACTTAGCCCCAACGATCTCGGCCCACTTCTCTGTTGAGAAGGACTTGGGTCTCTCGATAGGAGCGCCAATTGCACGGTCAATGATAAGTTGAGGCAGGACACCAATGGCACGGGAGACACCGAAGAGCACAGTGTAGTAGTTGGCCTCAGTCAGACCATAGTATTGCAGGAGAACACCGCTGTGGGCGTCAACGTTGGGGAAGGGGTTCTGTGTCACGTGATTCGTCAGCACATGTTCGTAAATATGATCATACCTAATAAGACCACCCCCAACAGAACTCTCAACATACCTTTGTCTTGCCATGTTCTGTCAGAACGCCTGGGGCAATCTTGTAGACTTGGCTAACCAACTGGAACATGGGGTCGTTGGGCAGGTGTTTCTGGAGACGATTAGCCAGCGGAACAAGTATTTTAGGATACCTGGAAGGGCGTTACCTCAGCAAAGGCTCTCTGAGCCATGTAGCGGGGGTCAGTCTTGCGGAGGACAGCATGGCCATATCCGGGGACAACTTGACCAGCATTGAGGGTGGACCACAAGTAGTCGGTGATGGCCTTGTCACTGAGGTCATTGCCAATGGCAGCCTTCATCTTTGTGAGCCAGTTCAAGACCTCCTGGTTGGCGAGACCGTGGAGAGGACCAGCGAGACCGTTCAGACCAGCAGCGAGAGAGAGCATGGGAGAGCTGAGAGCACTTCCAACCAAGTGAGTGGTGTGAGCGCTGACATTGCCACCCTCGTGGTCAGTGTGGATAGTGAGGTACAGTCTCATCAACTCAACAAAGTCCTTGTTGTCGGCAAAGCCAAGCTGGTTGGCGAAGTTGAAACTGTAATCCTTGTCCTTCTGAACAGGGGCAACCTTACCGCCCTTGAAGACGTTCTGGTAGATTCTTGCGGCGATGGTAGGGAGCTTGGCAATGAGGTCCATGGAGTCCTCGAAGGTGTGGCCCCAGTATTCGCTCTTCTTCATACCCTTGGCATACGCCTTGGCGAAGGCAGATTCATGCTCGAGAGCATTGACTGCGATAGAGAATTGAGCCATGGGGTGGAGGTCGCTAGGGCAGCGGTCGATCAGCTCCTCAACGAATTTGGGGACGTCTGAACGGGCAGCCCATTCGGCGGAGAGGTCACGGACTTGCTGCTCGCTGGGCACCTCACCGGTCAGGAGGAGCCAGAAAAGACCTTGAACCTCTTAGTACATGTCTGCGACTGGCTTATCATCAGTCCATACCTTCAGGCAGAGGCTCCTGGCCTCCGGGAGCCTTCGGAAGAAGCTCCTGGCACTCTGGGATTGTCTTTCCTCTGAAGCGGATACCCTCCTCTGCATCAAGAACGGATCCTTCCCAGACCAGTGACTTGATGCCACGAGCACCACCGTAGACCTGGTCCAAGGTCACCTCGCCGACAACCTTTGATCCATGTTCTCTGCGAAAAGTCAGATTGCGAAACACTGTCAATCCGGGGCACAATGTGTTCGTACTTGCGAAGCTTCTTGATCTGCTCAATCTTCTCTGGCAATTGCTCGGCGAATCGCTCCTTTAAGGTCTAAAGGCGGGAGGTTAGGAAGCGGATGGGGCGGGAAAGAATGATGGGGCAAGCTCTACCTGGGTCTTGGAAGAGTAGCATCGCAGGCCATTGAAGGCAGCGGTTCTCGCGTTGAACGCGGGAGCAGTGAGAGAAGATCTCAAAGCAGAGGATCCGAGACGGAGAGCAGAAGCCATTGTGAGGGTGATAGTGTGTTTGCAGGATGGGATGGGGGAAGAGGAGGATGTTGATGGAAGAAGATGGGAGGAGCAAAGATTGATTCTCGGATAATAATAAAGCCTTGGGGGGGCTTTAATACGGAGAGACTGCCGATTGAACGGACACCCTGTACGCAAGAAGGGCCGTCCGGCCGGCCGAGCAGAGAAGCCTTTTATCCATGCGGACATATAATTATATAAAGGATATTTATTCTCTTCTGCCGGGTTCTATCTAACCGCAGGCCGTCTTCTCCTGTACTTACAGACGTGATCATTGCCTTCCTTGCCTTATTGTCTGGACCACTTCTTCCCTTGCGCAGGGCACTCCGACAGGTCCGTACCCCGGAGTGTGTCTATCAATGGTCCGCAGCGACGCAGGCGAGTGATCACGTGCTAGACACGCTAGTCGCCTTTTCGTTTTCCGTCACCACCACCACCCTCCACCTCAACCTCCTTATTGTTCTTTTCTTTTTTACCCATCGCCCAACACCCTCAACACCTCTCCCCCAACTGACTCTCACCACTAATATCAAGCCTTTCCAAGTCTCGATCTGTCGTAACAACTACGCCTATTACTGCTCTTCGAACGTTCTCTTTTTCCCCCCCGTACCGCCCTTGCTGGGGTTCTCTCGCCTCTGGGCACCGCGTATCGGTCGCACATCGTACGTAGTTGGCGATAGATCCAGCTTCATCTCACCTTCCATCGTAGCTCTGTATTCGTGGATCCAGGTGGGAACCGGGGCATAGAAAGTAGACCTGCGATCTATCTCCTGTTCACCTCGCAACCGTTGTATTGACCCCCAACCCTCTCGCTGGTCGCATTCGCCATGTCTTCAGCTGTAGCAGAACTAGAAGCTGGCTTGCAAGCCATGCTATCATTGAAACCTCCCGGTGTATCGGGTTCTCGAATTCAAAGTGTCACCGCGCTGTGCACTGCCAACATCCAGGTGAGCAGATCGAATTCTCTTCGTCCATCCCGGTGAATGCAAAGCTGACCCTCCTCCCACAGTCCGAATCAGTACTCATCCAGAAGCTGTACACCCATTTCAAAAAGGCCCCAGGAACCCACAAACTTGGCGTACTCTACGTCGTAGACTCTGTAACTCGGAAGTGGACCGAACAAGCAAAGACTGCGGGACAACCTATAAACAGTTCTGCTCAGGATGGTACTTTTGCTGCGGGCGTCCATAGAGTAACGGAATTGCTTCCTGTCCTGATGAACGATATAATCCAAGCGGCCCCTGATGATCAAAAGGTACGCTCAAATACTTGAACTCGGTGTAGTTGTCGGTGCGAGAGGTTCGCACGAGTTACCATGGCGTTGGCTTAACCACCTGTTGCTGCATCGAGATCTGTCTCCTGTATTCTGTTTCCCTCCCGTATGAATCCCCACTTACTCTTCTTTTTTTACCTTGTAGGAGAAGATCAAGAAGCTCGTTGATATCTGGGAGAAAGGCCAGACCTTCCCCTTGCACATGCTCACCTCATTCAAAGAAAAGTTGAATGCTCCGTCGCAAAGTAAGACTGCCAGCGCTGCCTCATTAAGTTCTCTTCCGTACCGTGTCTCTAATCACCTTGGGCTCTCTGTAGATCAATCTACTACACCTCCAGGAAGTCCGCCATCAGATATCCAAAGAACCCTGGGATTGCAGCAGTCGAGCGCCCCCGCCGCTGCTGCCCCGGCCGCACCCAACACGTCGTCGATATTGGCAGCGCTGGCCAATATGGCCCGCCAGCAGAACGCCGCAGCCTCTGCCGCAACCCCCAGTGCCCAGAGCCAGAATCAGGATAGTTTGTACAAAGTGCCAAATGCGCAGAATAATCCTGCCCAGCAGCTTCCAGCCATGAATCAGAGTCTGCCACTCCAGCCAACCCCACCGCCTGTAAACGTGCCAGCCCCAGGGGCAACCTTTGCATCGCAGATTCCAGGTGCGAATGGTGGTGCTCAGAACTTTGCCAGTAATCAACCCAATCCCTACGCGGCTGCTCCGCCAATGCTCCCGCCTACTACTCTCGACCCGGCTGTGCAGCAGCAGCTGGTGTTGATAAAGACGCTCTCCGACGCTGGCATCGCGCCTGATCAGATTGCCGGTGTCATTGCGCGCCTGGGCAGCCAGGGCGGCGCGGCTGGAGGGCTTCTCGGAGCCGCGCAGTTCCCAGCTCAGAATGCCAATGCCAATGCCAATGCTCAGAATGGGCCAAATGGCTGGGGTGCCCGCCCCGACGAGTCACGTGACCGCAGCGGATACCATGAAGGCGCAAGATCTCCTGGACGTTATCGACGCCGTTCTCGTTCAGCCTCGCCGTCTCGTGCATGGAACGCCCGTGATTCTCCCGCTTCACGCCGTCGGGACGAGGCCGGGTATGATTATGGTCGGGACTCTCCTGGTCGAAATCGGGACGACCGTGGCCGAGGAGGTCGGGCCGGCCGCGGCAATGAATATCGCCAGCGGAGCCCTCCCCGCCGCGGGCGTAGCCCAACTCCGCCAAGACCCCACGGCGGAGAGAAGTGGGTTGGCCACGATGCTACGATTCCCAAGGGTCACATCAAAGGTATGGCTACAACCATCTCTCATCCATCGCTCGTCTCGAAATGTTCTGACAGAAAATAGTGCTCAGTCGTACGCTTTTCGTTGGCGGTGTCACGTAAGTCCGGCCTCAGCAGCAGTTCCTTGAGCCTTGCTAACCCTTCGTAGGACTTCTGAACCGGAATTGAGGAGCATCTTTGAGCGCTACGGCCAGGTGCAGACTTGTATTGTCAACAAGGAGAAGCGCCATGCCTTTGTAAAAATGATTAGTCGTGCCGACGCGGTGTCGACAAAGGATTCGATGGAGAGAAACAGGACTCCCGACTCACAGCTGAGGGTAGGTTTGCTCCGTGGATGGTCGCTTTATAACTCCAGAGATGTATATACTAACTTCACCAGACCAGATGGGGCGTGGGATTTGGTCCACGAGACTGCAGTGATTACTCGACCGGCGTCAGCGTTATCCCCATCAGCAAGCTCACAGATGCGGATAAGAAGTGGATGCTGACCGCCGAGTATGGTGGTAGTGGAGGAAAGCCCATCGAATCAGGCATGGTAGTCGAGGAGCCTGACATTGAAATCGGCCAGGGAGTCTCGTCCAAGGCCATTAGTCGTCGCATGCAGACTGATAAGGGTGGCAACAATGGGCCGAAGTCGAGTCGGGATCGCGATGATGATGACGGTCATCGCCGTCGTGGAGGCCGAGATGACCATCGCGATGATGGGCGACGAAACGATGATCGAAACGACAGATTCCCGTCATCCAGTGCTCCACCAAGCATGCCCCCGATCCCCCCCTTCGGTATTCCTGGATTCCCCTTCCAAATGCCAACGTTACCAAACGGCATGCCAATGTTTCCTCCTGGCTTCGTTCTCCCTGGCCAGCAGCAGTCGCAGCCTCAGCAGCCGCCCCCTCCAGGACACCGCACTTAGGATCCTGTTCCGCGATCGAAAGATCTTGTATCAACATCCGGCCATTCATCTAGATCACCTTGACTACTAACCTTTGCATCATGTCGCACCTTTGCCTTTTTCTTCTGTTTGGTGGCTGCATGGCACTGGAGTTCTGGCGTCCAAGATACCTCGCTTCTCTGGAATCTCGAATAATCGAACAGAGGTGTTTCGAGTCATGGTTTTCGGCCAACCTTGAGCAACCGCCTTTTATCGGAGCACGCGACTCTGGTCTGGGACCAGGTACATCATCTTGCTTTTCTTAAAAGAAATAGTTCCTTTCTCGTGGTCGTATGGAATGGCGAAAGACTATGAACGAACATATCAAGACTACAGCGGAAAAATGCTATCCGCCATCATGTACTTAAATTTGCTTCACTTCGGTGGCTATTCAGTGAGCAATTGGCCCGTGATTCTTTATAGTTCCAGTGATCTTGATAGTGAAACCCATACCGGATTGTAATGAGACCCCTTTTAACCATTTCCCTATTGACAATATCAGAGCCGTACGTAGGCCGCTCCCACCAAGAGCCCCATTTCTACCCAGTTTCAGGGGCTACTGAAATCTAGAATCACCACCAGCCAAGGCTACCCAGCAGACCTATCCCTATGCCTCCCTATTTAACCACTCGCGCACCAAATAACAACCCCTTCTGCGCGTAGCGTCACCCCTACCTCGCTCTCTCTCCCTCACATACCCCCTTAAGGCCCCACCGTGGGGGTCCCCTCCTAGAGGACCTTCCTCCCTTCCTTACCAAGTAGCGAGATGCTACAAATTGATTACAACAACATAACCAAAATATGCAGATCAGCCGATTATAATACGGTTCAGAATGAGGAGGTGTGGAACTTGTTCTATATCACAAGATAAGAAAGAATCCTTAATCTGCCTCGCTTTCCGGATCCTATAGCATGTATGCACACATATGTACCTTTAATCTTAATCTATTGTATACCAGATACCTAGTTGATCAAGGCCGTACCGTCAATTGGCGTCCTGAATGCCTTGTAAGAGTCTCCTCACACATAGATATGTATTTTCTTTCTCTTTTTCTTCCGAATAAGAGGCGGTACTGGATTACATATAAAGGATTAAACGGCCAAGACTCATTAGTTCGTCTTTACAGAATCCCTCGATGATTGCATGACATTGGGACCTCCTATTATGGAGCTCCAAAAGCCGACAGCATCTACAGCAAGACTGTTTGATGTGGGATTAGGGCCCATGCCTATCTGCATAGGCTCTCACCCCGCCCACAACTTTGTAAACCGGATAGGTTATTGGATTCACGCAGCGACACAGAAAGAAGACGAAGAAGTGGTCGAGATATCTGTTGTTTCCTATCTCTATCCTACTGGAATCACTTCGCCTTGTATCTGATTCGACTAATTTACATATTTGTGTTTGTCCCCCTTCTCCTTGAAAATGGCATACCGGGGAGTCATTTCAAATTCGAATCTATGATCCTGCTCAGAGAAATCGCCATCAACGCCATCACGCTCGAGTTCCTCCCTGACCGACGAGGAGAGACGTGACAAATCAAGGTCCAGAGCTTGATTTGTCTCGTGTTGCCCCAAACTAGAGCTCTCGACGCTTGGCAGACGTGGGAGCTGCAGGTGAGAAGCTTGGCTATGCAGATGAAATTGCTGCCGGGCATTCCACTCAGGTCGTAGCGGTCTTGTTCCATCACTTTCCTCGTGGGCCTCATATCTATATAGAAGCGTTTGGGCATAATTTGGGCCTTGGATGACACCAATGCCACGGTCTGGATGAAGTACTAGTTGGCCTTTTTCAAGATAGGCTCGGGCCATGGTCTGCCCAGTCTGCTCCTCGTCTCTTACCCCATGCTCAAAGGCCGCGGGTGGCAAGGGTTCAGGGTGAGGTATTATGACTTTCGGCCTCCTGGTAGGAAGTGAGCCCGCCGAACCGGCTTCGAGACCCATCGCAGGCGAACCAGCGGAGGTGTTTGCAGACGTTGTCCCTGAAACTACATCATCTTCGAGATCCGAATCATCGACTGCAAGTAGGTGGACTTTGCCAGTCGCGTCACCGATCAGCAACTTGGAAAAATCCTTCGAAAAGGCTCCAGCTGAGACACCACCCGAGACCGACAATACTGTCCGTACAAATGCCTGCCCCCTAGGAGCTCGTACATCCCAGGCTTTCACTTTCCCATCAGATGAGCCAGTATAAAATCTATCGGTGGTTCTACCCCATGACGCAAACTTCACCCCAGTGTCTGCAACCTCACGTGGCAGATCGTGAAGCGGATTATCGAGCGAATCTGCTCATACTCAGTAAACAATTAGCACGAAAGAGACGAATCGAACTTACCGCCATGACCAAGGACGTGAATAGGATCATCACCTTGAGCCGTGTCCCAAACGTAGGTATTCCCGTCTGTGCAGCTTGCTGTGACGTAGCTTTCTATTAGGCTGTTTGGTCTCGATGGTGTCAGCATGGAGGAAACGAAAGGAATGGGCAACCTACTGGATGGTGAGTTCATTAATGTCCGAAGCTGGGCAATCAAGTGCCTTGATATCCAGGAACGCTCCAGACTCATTCAGGGCGAAGAGGCGGATCTGCGTCTTTACCTCGGGCTCAAATGTCCCACAAGGCGAGGTGGCCGCTAGAAAAATCGGCTGCGTAGGATGCCAAATAACTTCGAAAACATTCTGAGTACGTGCAGCTGATATTTGTACGCGTTGCCCATTCTCAGTATTGAATATGCAAAGCTCGCCGCTGTTTTTCTTGTCCTCTGGAATGTCATTCTCGTGATCAGTGATACTTCGTGGAGAGTATCCTACAAGCAGTAGGTTGGCCACGCAAGGTGCTCTGCCCCATCGAATGGTGGCTGGAAAGTATGCCCAAGTGTCACTTGTCCCAAGCTCCAGCGCTTTCTCTTGGGCTTTGTCGCCACTGTATGACACATACAACGTATCTGAAATATTATCTTCGTCAAAATAGTAAACCCTGATAGCGTTGCTGCTGACATCTGAAGCTGTCGCTATTCGCCCATGATTCTCAGAAGTGACAACAAAGTTGACCTTGCCGTCATGTTTCCAGGTCCCGCAGAGGTTCATTGAGGAGCCGTCCTCGGAGACCTTCCATATCTTCACGGTCTCATCAAAGCTGGCCGTAAACGTATAATCACCACTCTGAGAAGTGGATACTACAGAAGTGTAAAGCCAGGGGTCCTGTGTTTGCCGCATAGATTGCAAAGAATTCTCTGCGTTCTCTTCTCGGTCCACGATAGGCCGTATGATTCGATGACCATCGACGGCCCTCAAGGTGTCTAATGAAGTTGAGCCTACAACAAGATTTCCAGGCTTGTTATACTGCATGTTATGGTAATCGGAATGGGCCGTAGCACCACAAATAAAAGTATTGTCACCTGTCCAGCTGATGGCAGAAATATCACCACAACAATCAGTCCACTCACTTTGACGCACAAGTGAGTCTTCTATATGGCTTGAAATCTCGACATTAAATGGTTGCCAGCCCTGGCGAACTCTGAATGGTGCCGTCCCCCAAGTCTCGCGCTCTCTGAGGAGCCTGGATATTGATGGTTTTGGGAAACTTATACCAGGGCGTGGTTTCGAGTCTATGCAAATGAGTCGGGGCATAACAGTAACACAACCAGCAGCAGCATCCTGCAGAAAGGCACAAATCCCGGCTGTGTCTCGATGCCGAAGAAGCTGGCGTCCCAAATCTTTTCCAGGTTTTCTGGCTTTGCTCTCGATGACTCTGCAGATGGTCGGAATGTCTGATTCATGGTTAACCATAAGAGACACGACCCTGGATCTCAGGTCAGTGTCTACAGGTTCTTTGGTCCTTTTGAGTACCATGATAACCTCGCAAATAAAATCAACCTCTTCCGGGCAAAAATCAACATGTAGGACAGATTCTTCAAGAAAATCGCGGTCTGCCTTTGATAGACGCCCTCCAGTACCTTTTTGCATTTTTTCCAACCCCCGCCGTATGTCGGCTCGGTCTGTGAGACGTATGTAAGGGCGTGGTACAGTGTGTAGTCCAGCAATACGTAACGCGTGGGTTTCGCGAATAGCAGAAATACTAGGCTTGTGATTCCGAGGCTCTAAGCCCTCCTCTGAGTTAATCACTGCCCTTGCACTGATACTGTCGTTCGAATGAATTCGTGGAGGCTGGGTATGTCTGGACAGCCTAAAGCTTCTAAGTTCTCTAATAGGCTGTTGTGGTGCAACATGCAGACCTTTCGAATCACCAGGATTCTCACCACCAACCAGGCCTTTTCCATCTGAAGGATCGTTGCTTAGGGGAGTTGTAGGAGACGAAGAATAATGGTGCCTTATACGACTATTTCGTGAAACAGGGTGCTCTGGCTCTAATTCTGATGCGCTTTCAAAGACTTGTTCATCATCAGATGAAGAGCCAGGGGAGTCTGGGTTATCCAATACAAGCTGGCCCTCGTCTTGGGGCTGGTTGGTGAACGTTGCTTCTCGAATGTCGAGGGAATCGTTAGAACTCGATTCGTTTCTGTCCGACTCTGATGAGGCACTGGACCTCGAGGCAAACTTGTCAACATAACGTCTAGCTCTGGCTGACAGTCTCGCCTCATAATCTTTTGAAAGCATCCATTCATGTGCTTCAAAGTCTTTAAAAAAGCCGGGTTTATTTATGAGCTTACGCGCAGTCTGACACACTAAGTTAGTCTAGTTGTACCCCAATGCGGAATTCAGACATTCTTGCCTTTGTCCCAATCCGATTCCGTTCTGCTCTAGACAAAGTCTTACGAAATTTGCGCAGTGCAGATGTAATGTGTCTGAAAACTTGGTTCTCAAGCACATAAATCATCCGCTCATCAGTTTTATAATCCGTATCTTGGCCCGTAGGCTGAGTTCGATGCTTGTGAGACGGGATATGAAGTTGTGAAGAAACTCGAGATCTGTCCAGTGTCTGCCGCGGCAAGACCAGTTCCGCGATACGAGCATGGTGGTGGGAGCCAATTGCTGTTGTTGCACGGGAATCCAAGCGCTTTGATCTAGTGGGCTGAGTGTGTCTGTGGTCTTCAACGCTGAGACTATGGCCTGGAGCTACAGCCATCATTCCGCCATGAGTCTTTCGCCTCTTGGCAGTGTTGGCGATTGGAACGCTCCCATTCTGGGCCCTGGTAGCAACCTTTGAAAAGGGCCGCTCTGTTGATCTTCTACTTGCTGCATTACTAGCCCCTTGCAGCTGGCGAATGTCTCCATGATTTGACAGAGGGAAGTTGAAGCTATCTCGTAGGACGAGCCCATGGTTGGAAACGGGGAATTCCTGCGGCGGGCGTGTCGTGAGTGGTTGCGAAGGCCGACGTCGAAGGATTCGGATATGCGTGCTTGATCCATCTTGCTCTTCGTCGCTTTGTGTCAGGTCTATAACTGGAGTTGAATATAGTCTGCGCGTCTATTAGCTCAATGGGACTCCTGTCGCGGTTCAGGAAGTCAATCTCACGATGTCCTTGCCGCAGCCATAACGAGTAACCAAGCCAGGCAGAGCAGTCGCAAACGCTCATCTTAATTGTGAGGTTGGGAAGGTTGAGGTAAAGAGTGGAGTTGAATTCGAGCAGGCGGCGCTTTGCCGTGGGGTGGTATGTAGCGCGCGAGTGCTCGTAAAGGCGAGGTTAGAACTTGGGACGCGACTGTAGGAGGTGAAGAGGAAGAAGCGATTCGCTACGAGCCAAGCCAATCGCAACCGCATTACGAACAACCGACGAGGCTGGATATCAACAATGGAATGGGGTGTCGATCTTATGACTTCCGTGTTCACAGAAGCCTTCAGCAGAAAGAAAAGGACGGGGAAGGGGAAGGGGAAAAGGAAAATCTAAGCTACGCATGCATCTGATGCTCGAGTTTAGAACCATGCGGAGAAAATCTAGCTGCCGTGTTTGATGCACGAGGCTGAGGGATTCTCACATATCTGGAGGCACCGAAGGTCAAGAGGCACGACGCCCATACGATTCTTGCTGAATTAAAGTATCCCAAGTGTTTAATAACAATATACAGAAGATGGCGAGACGGCTACTAAGTGCTCCCTTGCCTCGTTTCTCAATAACCAACTAAGGTTTGTACAACGCCGACCCTGCCTCTTCTAATTCAACCTCTCTATTCTTCAGGAAAGCCGAATGAAGTATAATATAGTATTTCCCAAAAACAGAACTCTCAACCTTTCACCAAACTCTGCCAAGCTTGTCCAAATGACTTCTCTTGGGCTATATCTGTACTCTGTGTCTATCTTGTGCTAGATTGTTCTGCGAAGATTTTGGAGTCCTTACGAATACTACGACGGTTTGGGGGGAAGATAAGCTATATAAAACGCAGACACAAAACGGGATCCATTGCACCACCAGGATGGTAAATTGAAAAAGAGGGGCAGGGGTGGGCAACCAATCACCTAATCTGCAGATTGAAAGATCTCAGGGGCCAGATTTATTTAAGGAGATCTTGTTTCACTACTACTGCCGTCGGGAGAGAAAGGTCTCTCGATTAGCTCGTAGACGTCCAGAATCCAGAAAGCTTGCACAACTCCTAGACAAAGTACCCTTTCTCACTAGCAGGCCTTGTGATAGCAGTCCAGGGTCCGTCTAGGCACTTTCTAGGCAGTTTTAAAGCCAGATAATCACAATCCAGACACGTCTACTCGTAGCGGTGTAGCTTCCCGAAGCCACCTCTTGCTCACAAAGGTACTTCCACATCCTTGCTCGTGTCGAGCTCCTCATGCCTTCGAAGGTCCATAGGCCGATCGAGGAGGGGAATGACATAGGGGTCGAAAGTCTTCCAATACGGATTTTCAAGGTGATATTTCTGACTCTTGTAGCATTCCAAAATTTAGCTTTCATTAAACAGCGACGGGATAGGAACGTACGCCCTCGTTCTCAAAACGCTCTACAATGGTAAACGCACGTGGGTCATGAACATCTTGCATAACAATCCAGTCGACCGTCTCTTTGTCCTTGCGATACACACGAGAAGCCTCGATGAGCTTTGCCTTGATGCGGGGTATGGATTCTGGATGTTCATTGGCATAAAGATGGACAGTCAGTGTGTAGACCATGTTGGGCGATACGTATTTCAGGCAGAGAGAATAGACTGGGGACTCGTGGCTTGCAGAGATTGTGTCAAAGGAGAATACTATACACCGTTGTTGTCTCTGCCAGGTGTCGAGAAGGTACCTTGGTACCTCGCCCTTAGCTTGGGTGCGGTTAGTAAACTGGATTTATATTGCTATACATACCCCGTCTTCCCTCGAATTTCCCTTGAACTTCCTACCTACCTACCACGTACACTAGCTGGCCTATATGGACATGAATACTAAGTATCCAGCCGCTTCTACAACACATTGCCACTGTTTGAAGTTGGCAATTCTGTCACAGCAGAGATATATGTAGCTGGGCATCGTGAACCCACCACGCCATATCCATCCACCGAGGCTCCCATCGCCTCGTTGCGGGTCAAGATGGACAGGGAGGCGAGAGAGATACCAGGCTATTACTATGGTATAAAGTCTTGCATTGACCTTATATTTCATCAGATTACATACTAAGTGTTGCATAGATAAAGAAAAGAGGAAATATTTCAAGATCCAGGCCAGCAGCACAGCACCTGCGAGCTCCGCCTATTCTTCGAAGGACGTCAAAAGACGCAAACTTCAGGATGAGAGGTCGGAAGCCGTAACCTTAAGAATAGCACGCCAGAGGGGTCGCATTCAGAAATCCAGAATTCTGTGTGAACCGATCGCAGGCGGGTTTCTTGCAAGGGAGCAGGGCCAGGCTGGCTTGGATGTTTCCCGGATCTACGCTGGAGGACTTGTGCAACAAGGCTACCTTCCTGCCATGACCAACTTCGATCATTGCAGTGACCCTATATTTACCATTGATCATAGATTTGACCTTGGTCCGTCTCTTGTGGACTTTCGAATAGGCAAGTCATAAGCAACCCTCAAGCAACCCTCAATCTTGTGGCAACGTATCTCGAGTCTGAGCGCATGACAATTCATGGATCATCATAGCGACGTCTACTATACAGTTTTTATTACCCTCACAGTTCTTGGGAATAACCGCATAACTATCTACCACGTCTACACCAGGATATGGCTAATTGACAAGCAGTTTTTGACGATCAGCTATTTACTATTCGAGCCAATGTCGACAAAAACAACCGAACTAGAAGTCATGGCAGCGTGGAAATCTGTCACGATTTCAGCGTACCCACAATCAACAATGCAAGTTGGAAACTTGAACGTTTTGGCCACCCTGGCACATCCACGTCTTTGACGACCCATGAGGCTAGCCGCAGACTTGCGATGACCTGGCTGGCAGGCTCACCACACTCAGGGGCAGCCATTGTCCCTATGACTGGTATACCCACCGATGGAGATCGCGGTAAGCTCTTTGTGCCCCTCTGCTCCGCCTTATTGTTTTCTAGTTGCCCATTATTAAATGTCGTTTTCACACCCGAATTGTCTGCCGCGGATAGGCCGCAGCCTATACGATCATATATTTCTCTATTGCCTCGCACTCTGATAGATAAGTCTGACGTTATTTATACGTAGAGGAGCCCAATATCTTGCTCGGACCGGGCGTGTCACGTGGGATGGATGTGAGCTTCTATTCCTCAGCTGCGGCTCCACCAGAATCTTCTCTCCTTTTCGCTTTCGGGTCAAGCCATGGGATTATGACTGTCGACAAACGAGACTTTGACGCACATTTCATCAGTCCCAAGCCAGTTCCACAGGAGAGATACCCCAAGGATATCTTCGCTCTCGAATTTTTGAGCGATAACCACCCTGTTCTCCTCTCTGGAGGCCGAAACGGCATCCTCGATATCACAGATCTCCGGATCCCTAAATTTGGACACGATGCAGATATCATCCGTCATCCGAGCTCCATCACACATATCAAGCAACTTGACACACACCGGATCATCGTCGCGGGCCTCAATTCAAGCCTCTGTCAATACGACCTGCGCTACCGCAAAATCGATGCCCCGCCGCCGTCCCCTCCTTCACGCAGGAAGCTCAAATCGTTTAGCAATTCGAAGGCCACCAAACCCATTCTGCAATACCCGGGGTTTCACAATACTGCCAGTATACAGCTTGGGTTCGATGTCGATCTCGAGACAGGAGTGGTTGCCGCAGCCCAGGAACACGACGCAACACATCCTGCGGTCCAGCTCTTCTCTCTCCATGGCGGGGACGAGTTGCCACCATCTCAAGTCTCAAAATTCTCGAGTCTCGATGACGATGAAAATATCAAGTGCTTGAGATTTGCCAGAGACATTGAGGATAAGATGAAGAGCCTCTACTTTGTCTCGGGTGGTATCCAAAGGTATGCGTGGGCTTGTGAAGAGGAAACTCACTGCTATTGACCCATCGGTCATTATGTAGACTCTGGCTACATCTAAATCAGGAGATATCCGAGTCAGATGTAATGACTCGGGATTATCAGCTACCTCGGAGAAGTTGCAGAGAACTGATCATACGTATTGACACCGGTGGAGATTGAGGAATAATAAGTCGATAGGGGCAAGTCCCTTGGATCCATGAAAACGAGGCGCAGGGTTGAATATTTGAGATCAATTTTGTACTCCAGGGCTATGCACCATCCAGACAGATCTAAGATAAACGCCCACGCAATGCAGATACAACCATCTAAGCCATTAATCATCAAAACACTCCAAACGCTCATCGAATTCGTCCTTCGTGAGGGAACTCGTCTTCCAACTTCAACCTCACTAGCACATTCATACTCAACAACTCCTGTACAAGCAGCTTCGCCGCGTACGGCATTGTCATCCTCGTTACACCTCTCGTGCTCTTGCAGGTCTGGCACCAACCCTGATACCCCATCAGCCCGCAGACCTCGCAGATGTCGACCTGATGAGCATCGCTACTTAGCATGAGCCTCTCTAGTAGCAATTGACTCGCTCCGTACGCGATCAGACAATCTCTTTCCATCTCTCCCAATCTAAGACCTCCGTCTCTCGATCGGCCTTCTGTAGGTTGCCGAGTAAGAATTGCACGTGGTCCTCTAGATCTCGAGTGCATCTTGTCTTGAACCATGTGCTTGAGTTTTTGGTAGTAAATAGGCCCGAAAAAGATATACGCCGGCAAAGACTCTCCCGTGATTCCGCTAGTGACGAAATCCTTACCAGAGTAGCTAAATCCATGCTTGATGAGAATGTCACCCATGTCGTCGACATTGCTGCCGCCGAACGCAGTACCATATTCCAAGGTTCCATTCAGAACACCAGCTTTACCTGACAGGAGCTCCAGCATCTTGCCCACTGTCATTCGGGATGGGAAACCGTGAGGATTCATAATAATATCAGGCGTCACCCCAGTGTCAGCAAATGGCATATCTTCCTGGTTGACAATGATACCAACCACACCCTTCTGACCATGGCGCGAGGAAAACTTGTCGCCTAGTTCTGGACGGCGGGTCTGCCGGGTCTGGACCTTGATTACCGTTGCATCACTTTCGGTTTGGGAGATCATGATTTTATCGATATAGCTGGGATCGGGGAGCCGGTAGGTCATTGGGGCGGGTTTGTGCTCATTGGTCCCGTAATCCGAACCGATTCCCGTAGATGTGGTGTTCAGAGGAACCTCTTTGCTGAGGTACACCTCGCCCATAGAGACTTTCTCACCGACCATTGCGAGGCCATCGGCACCCAGGATTGCATGCTTGGCAATTGGTTTTCTCGGATCCTTTTCGTCCATCATTCGATCACCGATACGGTCGGCAGATCTGTTGGGATACTTTCTCAACTGAGTCGAATACTTGCGAAGGACCTGACAGCGACCAAACCCTCTGTCGCAGGAAGCTTTATTGAGCACGAGAGCATCCTCGATATCGTAGCCGGAATAAGACATGACTGCGACGGTGGCGTTTTGACCAGCGGGAAGTTTGTCGTAGTGGATCAGCTCTATGGTTCGAGTCTTAACCATTGGCTGTTGCGGGTAAACCATGAGGTAGAGAAGAGTGTCAATCCGTGAAAATTGATTGTAAGCAATGGCGCCAATAGCTTGCTTGCCCATAGCACATTGATATGTGTTTCGGGGCGATTGGTTATGGTGGGGATACGGAATGAGACCTGCGACCGCCCCTAAAATGGTAAACGGCTCAATCTCAAGATGAGTAGTACTTTCGTTGATCTCGTGCTCGTATATCGCAATATTCGAGTCGTTCTCTTCATTGACATCAACGTATTCGACGAGACCTTGATAGAGGAAATCATCAAAATCCATCGTCCCTCGGCGCAGGCACTCAAGAGAGTGTTTTGTGACCTTCGACTTTCTGTTTTCAACTACGATAAGGGGTCTGCATATGCGCCCTTCGTCTGTAGCAATATGTACTGCATTCGTGTGGTGATTGATGTAGATACTGATGAACTCGGAGATACGTCCCATACGTCTGAACTTTCGGAACGAGTTGAGGAATACTTTGGGCTGTCTTGTGAGCGCAATTGGAGTACCATTGACAAACACCACGTACGCCCCTTCTTCATAAATCTCCTTGCCGCTCATGGAGACAATGTCTTCAGCGCCTAATATGAAGACCAGTTTCTTGACAGGTTCCTCCTCATCATTAGTTGTGATATGAGTCATGAGGGCCAAGTTCTTGACCAGACCGCAAGCCTCTCCTTCTGGCGTATCGGAGGGGCAAAGCATACCGAATTGAGAAGGCTGGAGAGCTCGAGGACCACTGACTTTCCTGGTCTTTTCAAACTGACTGCTGATCCGGGTCATCATCCCAAGGGCGCTGATGTAACTCAGCCTACTAAGAACGTGGGTCACGCCTGCTCTGTCCATCTTGAATCGTTTCAGATTCCAATTTCCGGTCGAGATGGCTCGGTTCATACCCAGAGTGATGTAATTACCATGAGACGCCATGTGGTGGAAAGCATCGAACTCCATGGTTCGATTTGGCTTCTTCAAAACCTTGTCTATGTTCATCTTCAGATCGGAATTGAACTTTTTGAAAAGGTCTTCAAAAAGTAATGACAAAAGCTGTCCGGCAAGTTCTAACCGTTTGTTGCCGACATAATCTCGGTCGTCAACAAGACTAGGGTCATGCATGGCCATTAAGACCCTGCGAACCATGAAGCAAATGTAGAGCGCCTTTGGTCGGAAATCCAATCCATTCACGGGTACGTGAGTAATGATAACATTGGCAAGAGCTTCTAGTGCATCTCCGATATAATTTCGTCGGCCCGGCGCCCCTGGAGCCTTATTTCGGCCTCCCATTTTGACACGAGATCCGATATACTCGAGAGCCTGATGCTGGGAAAAGATTCCAAGCTTTGTAGCTTCTTCAAAATTGACGGCAAATTCATCCTGGTAGGTACTGTCCGTGCCGGCCACTAATAGTAGCATTTCGTGATCAGACTGTATTCCCATTGCCTTGAGTATGATCACGATTGGTATCGGCTCTTGAAGGATGTTGTGCTGCATGTGGATTCGGTCCTTCTTCATCAGGACATAACTCTTCGACTTGCGTTCGTGCGTGGAACTAACAACAGTCAGGACTAATTGAAAGTGAGCTGAAGGGTGGGTGAAAAACCTTGTGACGGATGCCGAGACAATGCCTTTCTTTGGATCGGACTCAACAATAACTCTGTTCTTACTCAGCTGTTCTTGTACGAGAATGACCTTCTCGGTACCGTTGACAATGAAATATCCGCCCGGATCAAGTGCACACTCGTTCATGTGTGCCATTTCCCGGTCATTCTTGCCAGCAAGTCTGCATTTCGAGCTACGAAGCATGATCGGCAGTCTCCCAATGCGACAGTTCTGTCTCTTTATAATGGTTTTACCGCGCACGTACTTTATATCCACAACAATAGGAGCAGCGTAGGTCATATCGCGTAGGCGGCACTCGTTCGGAGTTATTTCGTTCTGGGGTCTGCGATCGTCATAATCAAGGCGCTCTGGTTCTCCAACGCGGATGTCAAGATACCTAACAATGCCAAATCAGCAAAGACATCAAACCATCGTTGCAGTAGGACACGGACTCTAGGAAGAAGCGACTATCAACATCGCTGGTAACTCTCTTGTTCGCCATTACAATTTTCTTCATTTCATGATCGACGAAGAAATTGAAGGAGTCGATATGCTGTTTGACCAAGCCCTTGACCTTCAAGAATGCGGGCAGCAGATTCCATTTATCCTATTCGAGGGTCAGAGACCTTCCGCATCGCTAGGGGGTCGTGCTACATGCCTTGGCTGTGTCAATAGGATCTGTCAAGCTCTTCCCTCCGTAGAAAGGCTCGAGTAAGGCAGAGAAGCCCTGCGACCTGTGTCAGCAAAGCCCTGATGAAATTCGGGTCCAGCGAGACAACACACATCATCCCCCTTGGGTTCTCTGTGTCCGGCCTTGGGAGCATGTTTCGCTCTTGTACGTTTGCGCTTCGTGGGATCGTTTGGCTGAACATCTGTAGATTCTCCGGCCTGGTTCAGAAGTAAGTGTCGAGCCCCTCATGGCGTGTGAACAAACCTACATCCTTCCGAGTAACAGGCTTGGGATCCGGGACCTCAATAGGGCCAGCAACAGCCCTCTTCTTGGGACCCATGGCAGCTGCGATCGAGGTGAGACCAGGTTGACCAAGATCCCAGCTTCGAATATTCTGCTCTGTTGGGTACCGACCTGATTATTCGATCTAGCCGTGATTATGTGATAAGGTTGAATGAAAAATATTAGCCGACCCCGCACATTTTTGATAGGGCATGACTGTCTGGTGATAGGGAGACGCCCGGAGGCCATTGGCCACACAGATGAAGCAGGCGAATCATGGGCCCTGGCGATCCCAGATATCTCTACGAGCATCAGAGTCGGAAAGAAAGAAAGAAAGAAAGGGGGGAAGGTTTGCATCCAAGCCACCTCAGAATGTCACAGTCCCCGACTACGGACAGAACAGTCTCCTCCTGAGCATGTTCAAGGTTCAAACATGCAGACACGGCGAGTCGACGCTCTACTGCTGTACCCATCGTCCACCAACTCATCGAACAACCATTTTACCATATGCAGGTCCTCAAAGATGTTGATTGGCTATAAATAGCCTTACCGCCTTCAGTCACCGCCCTGCCTACCTTACCTAATGTACCTATCTGGCCAAGCATCTTCACACTTGCATTACTAAGCCGAGGGCAACAAAGTCCAAACTGCAAAAGGAAACGAGACGAAGTACGAGCAAAGGTCGGCTGTCGGCTGGCAGCTGTTGATTCACGACGTGACTTGACCGGGTTTTATGTCAGGTACTACTACGGGGTACGTAGATCCAGCGTCTTCTCTTCTCGTGCAATCGCATGGGCTCACCCCTGGGACTTTCTAATGTCCGGCAGAATCCTCCGCCGACTTCTGTATGCCGTACCAGGGTAGGGAGACATCGGCCTATCAACGAGGGTGCTTAAGAGGCCCCTCACCATGGCTCACCGCTCTTCTTCATCCACTATCGATGTTGAACCGTCCTGGGATTCGTAGAAAATCTCCATGGCCGATTCTGGCGAGGATGAGATGAGGCTTACGCTGCTGCGCAGTACGGATATAACAGCTCATGGTGGCGGAGGTGGGATCTTCCTCGTCTCCGCAGAGATAGATGTCTTGGAAGCAGTTGGAACCAGCCAAGTCGCGAGAAGCGTTAGGTAATAAGGATAGGTACAAGTACTGCAGTGCTGTGGTAGTCTGTACTGCAGGTATTACAGGACGACTCGGATGGGCTCTTGTAGAAGGGATTTCCGGAGTCTATACATCGGTAAGTATCTAGGGCAGGGAGATACTGGACAGGCAGGCTATTATCTCGGTTTTCGACACACTGGCTGTTACGAAGCCAGGCCTTCAAGAGCAGATCTCAGAAGCGGTGGATGATGGCGGGGGGGCGCGGGGCTTTTCGTCATTAACCTTGAAACGAAGCGTTTCAGTGGGCGGCAGAGCTCTTGAGGCCATCGCTTCTCGTGTGTCACTCACTACTGGACTCTGGATTCTGGCTCACGTCCGGCGTTCGGTTCGGGATCTTGGACGACAGATCATGGGAGGCGCCCTCGGAAGGATCGTGGAGGACCGAGACGGAGCAAGGAGGGACTGGAGTTCGCTATCATCCCGGCCAAACAGGATCGCGTTCAGGGTCCCATTCTTCTGCCTTCCCTACGGCACCGCACCGCACCGCGTGCGGCCAGAACCCCGCCGCGCGCAGCAGGAGGCTCGAAGGCTGGAGGCTGGAGGTTAGAGAGGTTGGAGGCTGGATCATCCTGTTTCCCATGGATGGAGTTGTATGTTAATGTATGTGTATAAAGAGTGCGTGCGGTAGGGTGGATTCTGAAGGCAGGAAGAGGGTTCCGACCGAGATCTATCTATTATCGTCCTGTCTCTATGATTATATATCATTTTACTGTACAGAGGTCATGGTATATCTATAGCTAGGTACCTAGCTTAGGTAAGGTAATAACACGTACTACGTCTGGTCTTTTATTGCAAGTTAAAAGCGACGCGCCCTTGGCCGGATGATGGATAGAGAACATCTTATCTATGAGATATGATCCGATCATTACCATACCCTCTGGGCAGTGCTATGAGTTGGGAGGTCTGCGAGACGGTGTTGAAGCGGTGGGGTTGTGGTATGATACCTTACCTTACCTTATGTTGTGGTGTTGTGTGGTGTTGTGCATTGGGCAGCCATTAATATTCCCCGCCGCCCACATCTACTATTACGGAGACGACCAGCACGCACTATCTTAGGCACGGTGGTCCCCTTGACTCGGCTCTAATAATAAGAATCCTCTATCGAGACAAGAATGCGAAGTAGTCTTGTACTGTACATACGAGGTACATGGACCGTACCGATATCGACTTGGTCCTTGGATCTTGAGTCTTGAGTCTTGCCAGAGTCTTGAGTTGAGTCTTGAGCCTTGAGCCTTGAGCCTTGAGCCTTGAGCCTTGAGCCTTATCCTCGTATCCTTTGGCAACGGACAGCGGACATAGTGCCCACTGTCCACTGCCCAACTGCCCGTTGCCCACTTGGCCTGGCCCCTCCCCTCCCACCCCCCATCCACAACTGGCTTTAGGACTGCGTTTCCTCTCTTGCAACTTGCCTCCGTCTTTCTTAGCCGCCGCGTGAAGCTCCCCCCCCCCCCCCAAGTATCTAGCCCAAGTATCCCCCGTGTACTCCTCTGTACTCTGTACTCTGTCCACTGTCCACTGTCCACTGCGCGGTTCATCCTCCCCCCCTCCCCCCTCCCCTCCACCCCGTCCCTCTGTTCCTCCAGTGCCGCCAGCAGCCATTTGCCGTCGAGTCGAGTCGAGCACTCCCTCAAAACCACGAACCCCCGTCAAAGTACGGTACGGTACGGGCCCGAACCTGCGCACTACGCTTCTCGACGCCTGGAGCACGACGAGTAGGGCTAGCGCCGCCTCTTGCGAGCAACCCCTGGTGCGAGTCCCCAATACATCTCGCAACTTCAAACCTCCCTCCGTCTCTCAGCACAGCAGCAATTCTGGATACAGCACGACATCTCTTACTGCCGCGCCTGGGGTTCCCAGGAGGCACGCATACCATCCTCTCCCTCTAGCATTTCTCCTGCTGGTACTCCCTCCCCTCCTGCCCTCCTCCCCCTACCGTGTAGCCATCGAACTTCGATCGCACACCGGAAACCCCACCTTGCGTCTCCCTCTGCTCCCCCCCAGGAACCCTCGTTTTCTTTAGCATGGGGCTGACCGCTCACAGCATCACAGTCCCAGATCATGGCCTTCTCCAACACGCCGAGTGATAGGATGGACGAACTACGCTTTCGGAGGAATGATTCCTCCTCTCTGGTCGGCCTCGTCTCTCCTCCGCGAAATGGCTCTCGATTGCCTCAGCCTCTGCAATCGCAAGATGGCCGTGGGGGCCTGATGCGTCGATTCACTACCGATTCCGGCCGGATGCCTACAATTGCCTCTCTCACGAGCCATCGCGGTGGGCTGGACTCGCAGGATTGGGGACCATCGGTACGTACCCCATTGCTATTGATATTGCCCCGGCTCACAATGGCCGCTGCTGCTATTGTTCGCAAGCACAATTAGCCCTCAATTGTCCCCAGCCCAGTCGCTTGCTTATGCTCCTAAAAGCGATATATTGCTAACTCTTGGTCAATTCTAGACGCATCATAAGGTCCAGCTTGTAAGCAGCCTTCCCAGCTCCCTTCAACTCAACAAACACACAATCCCCCCTCCCTCCTCCCCCCCGGTCCTCCTGCAGCGCTCCATTTCTTGGATTTGCGAACAAGCGTTGCTCAAGCATCTTCCATAGATCTGCAAGGCGGATACTACCAGCGTGGCTCAGCTTTGACCAGAGTACTTACACCTCATACAGTTGGAGAAGAAGAAACTCGAGTACGAACGACTTCGAGAACAAAAGCGCCGATTCGAGGCCGAGATGCAATTGCTGGATCTTCAGCAACGCAGAGAAGAGCAAGAACTTGCTCAGATGCAAGAAGATCTCGGACGCAACACCAATTCAACCGCCGGTCACCAATCCGAACCTACCACGCCCCCAGAGTACCGCGAGACCAGCTCTGGCTTCCCTTCGGTATTCTCACGTCCGAATAGATATTCGACATCAAGCCTCACATCACCCCCGGGCCTTTACAACAGACCAGGCCGATCTAGTTCCCAGCTCACCTCGCCGCAATCCGGCATTCTGCAGTCTCGCCTAGTCATGGACGACAAACTTCCGTCGAGGTCTGTTCCTGGCTCAGGGCGGACTAGTGATGAGGATGAGAAGGAGGAGGCAGTGAGACAAGACCCTACAAGTCACCGATCTACCAATGCGTAAGTTGTTGGTTTCCCATTCCCTCCACAGCATCCTCCAGGCGCAAGGTCGTTTCTACTCTATCTTCCAGTGCGCCCTCGCCTTTCACGTTTCGGTCCTCCTGCATTGCTCTCGCCCTTCGCATATCCCTTGTCATTATGTCTCCTAGCTTGGTGTTTTCTTCTAGGGCAGCCATTTTGGCCTAGGTACTTCAAGTGTGTTTGCCTATTTATTTCTATGCACTATTGGGGCCTTGCTATCACCAGAATTCCACATCATCAGGAGCCACTCTCATATTCACTCTTGGGTCTAATTCACCTTTTTATGTGGCGTCACTTAGTTGTAGCGCTGCCATATCCATCCTCTATTGCTATCAGCTGTGTCCCCTACCTCCAATCTCCTCCCTTCAACAAATTTGACGACGGGATAGCTATTGTGGACAAGAGCCCCCACTGGCAAATCCCACACCTATCAACAATCTATCATCTTCATTTCGATCTTGTGCAGGAGTCTTCTTCAGACCAACCACTCCCGATCTTCGACCTGATATTCATCGGTCAACTTTGCTAGATACCTGTTACTAACACCTACATAGCCTCAACAGGTACTCCATGCCAGTAACAAAGTCTCGAAACGGCATGCACGAGATGCTGTCTCTCGATCAGACCAATACCGCCCGCTTTCTCTTCGGCGAGGAAGATGGCGCATCATCCCCAGATGTCAAGAACTACCTGCAGATGAATGCTACGGATGATAAGTTCCCGATTCTTGTCCGCCGAGAAGATTATCCGGGCCTCGTAAGTTTATCTATCCCCTCTGCCATGTGAGCTTCTCGTTGACTGTGTATGCAGCTTTCCGCATCTTCAGCTGCTCTCGATCTAGCTCTGTCTCAGTCGCCAGGGCCTGATGCCAATGCCAATGGGTGGGGCGCGTTTGCTCGTCACCGCCATTCTCAACAAAGCCTACCAATGAATACCATCCAAGGAAATGGCTCAGCTTCTACTCCTCAGTCGAACGGACCTGACTCTCCCATCAGTGTTCGCCCATCATACCGGCACTCGTTGGATTTGAAGTTCTTTGATGGGCCCCAAGATACCTCTTCGCAAGTGAGCTCCCCAAAGCACGTTCAGGCCACACCCCCAAAGCTGCAGTCGTCATATTCGGCAAACGACGTCCCTACAATGAGATCGACAACGAGCAGCATATCTGGAGTCAACACCACCCCGAACTCGCATGCTCAACAGCACTTGCACAACCACAACGCCAGCTTGGGCCGCATCCCCCCCAGCGCGATGAGCAATAGGCTTAGCCGTGAGATGGCTTCAGGCGAGAACTCAACTTCCCGCGAAGCCCAAAGTAATGGTTTTCAGTCCATCCAGTCCGCTCTTCAAGCAAGTGCGCCACCATTTGGCCCCTCTTTGACCCAGGGCGTATCTCAAGCCCCGGTGCCTACAGCGATGACGTCCTCCGCAGTTCAACAACCATATCCTATCCCCGGTTACTATAACAACTATAACATGCAGATGATGACCATGGGTATGCAGAACATGCAAATCGGCCAACCAATCTACTCTCAACAGAGCCCTTACATCAACTATGGAAGCATGTATCCACAAGCTGGACCCCGTGATAGCCAGGCTAGAGTTATCCAGCAACGCCGCCAAAACGACAGTGAGTGTTAGTATCTCCCCTCCCCCATGATCATATCAGTCTAACCGATCTTTCAAGCAATGAATCGCTTCGCCAATCTGTCACTTGAACAGCTCGGCGGTGAGATATATGCTCTCTGCAAAGACCAGCACGGCTGTAGATACCTTCAAAAGAAACTGGAAGATCGCAACCCCGAGCAAGTCCACATGATCTGGCTTGAAACCAATCAACACGTTATTGAGCTGATGACTGATCCTTTCGGCAATTATCTCTGCCAGAAGCTTCTGGAGTATTGCAATGACGAAGAGCGCACTGTCCTCGTCGAAAATGCATCCCATGACCTTGTCCGCATCGCTCTGAACCAGCACGGAACTCGAGCCTTGCAAAAGATGATCGAGTTTATCTCGACCCCTGGCCAAGTCCAAACTATCATCGGGGCTCTTCGGTACAGAGTTGTTGAGCTCATTCAGGACTTGAATGGAAACCACGTCATTCAGAAATGTCTGAACAAACTTTCTCCTACGGATGCCCAGTTTATATTCGATGCTGTTGGGCACCATTGTGTTGACGTTGGCACTCACCGGCACGGCTGCTGTGTCCTCCAACGGTGCATTGACCATGCTTCGGGAAGTCAAAAGGCTTGGCTGATCGGGCAGATTTCTAATAACGCCTACGCCTTGGTCCAAGACCCATTCGGCAATTATGTTGTTCAGTACATCCTTGATCTGAATGAACCCATCTTCACAGAGCCTCTGGTCGCACAGTTCAAAGGTCGTGTTAGCCAACTCTCGAAGCAGAAGTTCAGTTCCAACGTCATTGAAAAGTGTCTCCGCTGCGCGCAGGAGCCCTCCAAGGACATGCTGGTTGAGGAGATGCTACAGCCCAACGAGCTCGATCGACTCCTTCGGGACTCTTTCGCAAACTATGTCATTCAGACAGCTCTCGACTATGCCAATCCGCCTATGAAGAATCGCCTAATCGAGGCCATCCGTCCTCACCTGCCTGCCATCCGTACAACCCCTTACGGCCGTCGAATTCAGGCTAAGATCCAAGGAAACGAAGGCCGCAGCGGCCCATCAAGCGGACAAGCAACCCCTAATGAAATAGAATCGAGTCAGGCACCTGTGCGTCACCAGCGTGGCATGTCCAATGCTTCGGCCGGTAGTTTCGTGAGCCCCGCCGGTGCATACACAAACGGTTATAGTCCTGCCGCTGGCGCTTCCAATTCCAATGGTCTACCAATCCCTTCCACTCGCCCAGCACCCCAACCGGCGGGCGGTTTTCCAGCCAGTGACCGACTTGCTTCTGCCCCGGGTCCACAGCAATCTTATCCATACGCTTACGGTAGAGGCAGTAGTCAGACAGGGGCGGGGAACTGGCTCTAACCTGCTCTCTCTCGTCATGACGATACGATCTTAACGCTTGTAACGGTACGAGGAACGATATTACATTTTCTAGTCGTTGAAGAGGTCAACTTTCCCGAACCATCACTGCCATGTTTAACCCTCGCGCGAGGGTTCTAATTTGGATAGCGAGAGCTGCCAGATTTCGACGACTGTTTTCACATATGATTTTCACGGCCCTTTCTTGTTACATTAGCATCTGGAGGTACCGCATCAGTGCGGGCCTTTTCTTTGCATCCGATCGACCGCGTGCATCTAGAGGATGGTCTTCAGCCCGTTCTCAGCTGCCTCCTGTATCATAAACACCATAAAATCTCGACCACGGCACGATTCGACACAGCCATCTTCTCAGCGCAGGGTACACTACGAGCGTCTGCGCAGCTCGACTTGTACCTGTATCCGAAACAGCGATGACATAGACCTTCCTTTTCCTTGGTTTGTTCTCTTCCGGTGGATTTTGCCCTCCCTCTCGCCATGCCAATCGATCAGTTTCATTTTCGGTAGTCGTGAGCGGTATCTTGTGCCCAAAATTTTCAGCGGGTCTTCACTTCTCTATCCAGTGTCATCAGTTCCAGGCCTGGTTGATACTAGGTTCACATGTCTAGTCCACTTCAGGACACACTTCGTGTGCAGTCCTCGATCTGGCGAACCTAAGTCACAATTTGGTACGCCTAAGTCCATTCTAAGGGGCAGTTCTGCAGCGCCCTGAAGGACAGTCACTGGATATGTGAATATTATTATTTTCTTTTTTTCAGATCGGGTCTGATCATTTGGTGGGGGGAGTGCTTAGCAGCCAACACTTGTAACTAGAGTTAAATGAGGAAAAGTCCATGCATCCATCCATCACATTCTGCAGTTGTGTTGAAGAGAGCTACCTAAGGGTTCCGGGACGTGTAGTAAAGCCAACGCCCAAATCTGGAAATAGGGGTGCATACCAGGTAGGTTTTTTACTCACGTGATTATATGCTTTTAAGCGACGACAAGTGCGAGCAAGGTTTTCCTCTGAAAAAGACTGCTGGGGTTTCGTGACCCTGGAATCGGCGCAGATCCCCCAAAGGATTGACTGAGCGGCGTGATCTAATAGCTGGGTCCTTTTTATGATCACTTGCACGGTTTCTAATTTACCTCCATTCTTCACACAAAAACAACCCTACGAAGAGAGAGGTGGCCAGACTAAGGCTGACAGGCGAGGCTGAAGACGAGATGAGATGGATTACGAGAGCGCTGCCGGCAACAAGAGTCGTCTCGTTCCGCTGAAAACCACACTGGAAGTGGAGACTCGAGACAGAGTCATCAATGTTTATGTTAATGCTATCCCTGTGAAACAAGCAAGTAATGCTTTAAGGTGAGTTGTCTTGACTGTAGGGCACCAGGGCAAATGATGGTAATACTCTACAGCATAATTCGTCGCCTCATACCTAATGATGGCGGGCTAGATCTTCAACACCTTCGACGATTTGTGAAATATGATGACGCCCCTCCCCATGTTCGAGCCTCCATTTCAGAAACCAGGTCGCTCGTTACTCCGGGACCCGAAAATGAGACACCCAAGGAACTCATTTTCATCGCGGGCTCGGTAGATAGCATTTCAAAGGAATCATTGATAGAAGGTCTATCCTCTATATCCAACCCAGTTTGTATCTGCTCTATCCAGGTGCCTCTTCTCGCGCCAACTTCCCATGAGCAGGCTGCATTCTGGACCTCTCGGTATTGGCCTACGGTATACAAAAAAAGCAACCCGTTTGGCCCTCATCCCAGTATAGTATCGAGAGCGGAGGAGGACATCAACGAGGATGTTGAGAAATGGATGGCTCTCGCGGACGGGGCAGCCCAAGAGGCACGAGCTACGGGTTCTGGCGAAGACATTGGCGTCGTCATCGTCACCAGGAAAAATGGGATAGCGCGCCCTGTCGCTATTGCCGGCGATGCAAGGTGGTTGGATTGGCCTCATTCTTCACGGGGGAATGTTGCTGCTCATGCCACTCTCCGTGCTATAGCAATGGTTGCCGACGGGCTGCGAGCCAGAGATGAGGACCAGCAAGGAGTTTCCGACATCACGATTCCGGCCGATACTGGCATATTTCGGGATCAGCCACGTATGCCGACAGAACAATGCCGGTCACCTATTGATGACGACGGATACCTTTGCCATGATCTGGAGATCTATTGCACGCATGAGCCATGTGTCATGTGCTCGATGGCTATCGTGCATTCAAGGTTTGGTCGAGTGGTTTTCCGCCGGCGCATGCCTTCAACAGGGGGGCTTTGTTCAGACGGTGAACTCGGTCATGGCCTGTTCTGGCGTAAGGAACTGAACTGGACATTACTTGCCTGGCATTGGTCTTCTGGTACAGATTCCATTGGCACTTGTGGGGTAGAATCGGATCTTCATGCATAAATATACCTAGTCATTAGAGACCAGCCCCGTGGGCAGAATTTAAACATCACAAAATAATGGCATCATGGTGTTAAAATGTATTAAAATGTCTCCATCCACTGAACCCTTACTCTCCTTCTGACGACCCTATATCCTTAAGCTTTGTTACAGAATTGCTACAGAATTACAGATAGTCCTACAGTTTCTGTCGCTGTCGCTACCATCGTCGCCATCGCTATTACTGTCTCTGTCGCTATTATTTACGGGCCTTTTGATTGATTATAATTCTCTCTATTTTTGAACTATAAGCAATAGTAATAAGGATCACAACAGTAATGGCGATGGTAATAGCGATGGTAATAGCGACAGGGATGGCAATGAAAATCCGGATATTTGTTTGTCCGCGCTACCTTGGATCTCAACAGTGGTAAACGCTATTATATACCATGTTACGCAAGGTGTCCGCTGTCGAATCCATCGGGTCGCTTAAACATAATTTTTCTCTTTTTTTCTCTGCCCACTCTACAGAAATAGAGAAATTCCAGTTGGAATTGTATGTCCAGGGATTACGCCTCGGCCGTTGCTTGAGCCCCACTATTCTCTCCCATTTGTTCCGTATATAGCCAGCTAGCTGCCTTCCTCATGATTGGGCTTCTTCAATCGATTCTCATTTTTATGGGTGTGCACCCAGTCCCAGCCAACTGACAGGAAACCTACTGCGGATCCCTCTTCACCGATGATCTAGCCTCTTTCAAAAAAGAACAAGTCTTGAGATAGAGTATTCAACTTGAAAAGGCGGAATGGCTACAGGCCAAACAAAAGAAGCACCTTCACCGTATATTGATCCTGCACACCCAAATATCCAACGATGGGAGAACGGGTTGGTGCTCTACAATGACTTCATCACCGAGGAAGAAGAAGCTGCTATCATTGCAGCCATCACGAATGATGATCGATGGACTGCCAGTGCTGGGAAACGATCGTCCCTTCATTTTGGTCCCCATTTCGATTACACAACTTTCGCAACTTCTAAAACGGCATACACACCTCTTCCAACTTATATCACCGATCTTCTTCCAAGGCTGCCTATTCAAGACTATCTCCCTGATCAAGCCACGGTCCAGTATTATCCTCCCGGAACCGGGATCCCACCACATGTAGACACTCACTCAGCCTTTCGGGAAGCGCTGTATAGTCTATCTCTTGGAAGTACCGTTCCCATGACGTTCAAGAGATGTGGTATCACGGAAGCACGTCGTATGAGAAATCCAAAACGATCGTTACTTAAAAGTACCGGCACTCCCGAGACTCCTATGGGAAATACCTCTCCGCCCAAAGCACCTATTGAAGAGACTAATGTGGAATCCTGGGAGCTGTTCATTCCTCCACGCTCTCTTCTGCTTATGACGGGACCGTCAAGGTATGGCTTTACTCATGGTATTCGTGGGCGGAAGTTTGATCAACAAAACGGTCAAATAGTAGCAAGAAAAGGGAGGTATTCGATTACTATGCGGACTGTTACATGGGGAGACGATGAAGGATGTAACTGTGATTATCCAGGGGTCTGTGATACAAGGATAAGAGAAGAAGAGAAGCAACGAACGTTAGCAGAAGGTACAAAATCATGCCCTAGATAGCAAGACGTACACAGTCACATAGCCTAGATGGTTTCTACTCAGCTTTCTTGCTGTATAAAGGAGCATTTTAGTACCCTCCTTTAATGACTAGAAATACTATGTACTGTTATCTTAAGTTATATTATGTTTTATTCTAAAACAAGACGGCACACATACTACTCTATAACACAGGTCTACTCTAGCAACTGACCGATAAGGTAGCGACGCCCTTTATAGCGCCGCCTTCTCCCTAGTTAGTCGTAGTAGGCCCCTCTTCTTCTCCTTCCTTATCCTTATCCTTATCCTCTTTTCTTTCTCTTCTTCTTCTCTTACTAGCCCTACTAACTCTCTCTTCCTTCTCTCCTCCTTTATCCTCCTTACTAAAGAACCTAGTATCCTTCTCCTTAGACTCCTTAGCGTCCTTTCTTTAGGCTTAGACTAGTCTATCTCTTACTAACTTATTAAAATAGTCCGGGTTATTATTATTATTAATATTATCCTTGTCTTTATCTCTTCTTTTATCTTTATCTTTATCTTCTCTCTTATCTTCTTTTTCTTTCTCTTTCTTTACCTTACGTACTATAGCTACTACTTCTTACTTAAAGAAGGTAGCGTACTTTATATAGATAGACTAGATAAAGGAAATTAATAAAGAGGTATCTTAAGAAAGTAGTAGAGCCTTAGTCCTATAAGTATATATACCTTTAGTAAGGCCTTTTTTTTTCTTCTCTCTCTACTTTATCTTTGTCTTTATCTTAGTTATTATTATTATTATTATTATAGAAAAATCGTCTACGCCCTTTTATTACCTTAAAAACTTAGAAACAAACAATAGATTTAAAATTAGTGCCTTTAGATACTCTCTAGAGTACTAGTAAACTATAGGTAAGCTTATAGTAATAGATAGTAGGTATACTAGACTTAAATAAAGCTAGTACTACCTACTTATAAGTAAGAGCTAGTACTCTTATTCTTTAGTAGAAAACTATAGTAAAGAGCTAGTAAGTAATAAGAGTAGTAGTAACAATAAGATAAAGACGATTCTATAAAGAATTAAGGCCTACGTAATACTAGATAAAGAAGAAGAGGTGTTGTACCTCTTACGTAACCTTATTATAATAATAATATTATTATTGTTCTTACTACCTATGCCTACTATATATAGAACCTCTATACTATATAAATCACGTAATAAAACCGTACTAAAGCTAGGTAAAAACCTATATACTACTACTTACGTTTATACTATTATAGTACTACTAGAGTACTAGGTCTTTATTACTACCTTACTAGAACTTAACCTTCTAGCCTAGTAATACTAAATATACTAACAAGACACTAGTAAGGCGCTAGTAAGGCGCTAGCTACTAGCTAGGGCTACTCTTTTTCTTATAACTCCTTTACTAAGTAATACTTAGCTAGACAGAACTATAAGAATTAGCTAGTAGATAGTAGCTAACAGATTAGTATACGTATACTCTTACCTTTCTTTATTACTACTATAAAGTTATAGAACGTCTATAGTACTCTTAAGTAGAGTACTTACTATAAGGCCTACTACTATTAATCTAGCTACTAGTAGTTAAGGACTAGGTAAGCTATTGTCTTTAGGGCCTTACTATAAGGGTACTAAAGAGTCACTACCTCTAGTACTCTACGCTTAAAAAAGAAAGCCTAAAGTCTAACTTTACTAGTATAGATCTATATTAAAAAAGAGCTCTTATACTTATAAAAGAGTAAGTACTTCTTAAAGGTATCTACTAAGAGAGTAAGTAGCGTAGCTAGGGTAGTACCTTAGTAGTATACTAGTAAGCTATTATATTAAGACTACTATACCTTTTAGTTCTCTTATAAGGTCTTTTCTAAAAGAGAGTCTTTATACTAGTCCTTTACTTATATAGCTTAGCCTACCTTATACTTAAGTAACGTATAAGGTAGTATTATAGTAATACTATAGTAGCTTTTCTAGCGTTATTAAAGATAAGTTACTACCTTATTATAGATAGACTATATAAGTTTACTCTTACTTATACGTTTAAGACGTTATTTAAAATCTATTACTTACTTATTAAAGTAAAGGTTAAGTAAAGGTATAGCTATTTTAGACTTAAGAAACTAGATAAGAGTCGTCTAGTACGCCTTTATAATAACGTAAAGGTACTATAACTACTTTATAGTAAGGTCTTTTATAATCTTCTTAGCTTACTACTTAAAGGGGTAGTACTAAACCCTTATACTATATACTATAGTACTCTAGATTACTTTTATATAGATCTCTTTTACGTATAGTAGGCTATATCCTTATATAAACGTAGTAAGCCTTATAAGTGTAAACTACTAAGTAGTAAACTTTTGTTTAATAACGTTAAAGTAGCCCTTTTATCTAAGCTTCTAATCTATCTAAACTCTTAAAAAGTAGGCCTCTTAGACTAAGGGTATAATCCGGCTATTAAGGTAGACAGGCGTTATTAGTATAGTATAAGTATAAGTAAGGTAAAGAAGCTTACTCTTTTTAAAGGTAAACTTTATCTTTCTTATATATAACTACTAGCTATATATCTACTATACTCTTTTAAGGTATTAGTATACCTTACGGCCTTATTTGTTTAATTTAACCTAGACTTAATAAAATATTAAATATATCTTAAAACTACTTAAAACTAGAGATATATATAAAAACTTTTTACAATAGTCGTCTACGCCCTTACTACCCTAAAAACTTAAAAACAAACAATAAAATTAAAATTAGTACCTTTAGATACCTTCTAGAGTACTAGTAGACTATAGGCGAGCCTATAGTAACAGATAGTAAGTATACTAGACTTAAATAAAGTTAGTACTACCTACTTATAAGTAAGAGCTAGTACTCTTATACCTTAACTAAGAGCTATAGTAAGGAGCTAGAGAGTAGTAAGGGTAATAGAGACAATAAGACAGAGAAAATTATATAAAGAATTAAAGCTTATATAATACTAGATAAAGAGAAAGAGGTATTACGCCTCTTATACAACCTTATTACTATAATAATAACAGTAGTAGAGACAAGAGCTATAAACACGACAACTCTCTTATGTACCCTTAGGTCCCTTTCTAATAATAACCTAGTAACGATTAGATAATTAAGAATAATGTTAGAAGAGGCCTTCTAGAGGCTAGTAGTAATAGTAGCCCTTTAGGCTACCTATATAGTAGTAGTAAGCTAGTGCCTAACAAGAGTATAGGTTATACTAAAGAGACAGATTAAGGAGCTAAGGATTAAGGCAGACAGACAGACAAAAGACCTAGTACGTTATAGTACTATTAAAGTAGTAATAGTAGCTAATATAGTAATTAAGGGTACTAAAGTAGTAGCGACTTACTAGCTACTTAGTAGTAATACTATCCTTACGTTTAAAGAGGCTATACTAAAGAACGTAATCTAAGACTAGGGCTAGGTATAGAGGGCGTTTAGGCCTACGGCCTAGCTCTATAAGAGTAAGTTTATAGTAATTATAAAGGGCCTACTAGTAGACCGGATTATATAAGTAAAGTTAAGAGCGTTACTAGTAGAGGTCTAAGCCTATATACTATATGTTATAAAGGTTAAAGTTAAGCCTATTAAGGCCCTTATAGTAAAGTTTATAATAGTAGTACTATACCTTTAGAGCGCTAATATAGTAACGTACTTATATAAACAAAGGTTAATCTAGTAAGCCTAGATCTTTAACTATAAGCTGTATTTAGCTAACCTATAAATCTAAAGATACTTTTAGTACTACTAGTTTAGCTATATTAGGCGGTTTTATAAGAACTAGGCCTAGTATAGCTACTATATAAGAGCGGCGTACCCTTAGGGTAAAGAAGAGTACCCTTAACTTAATAGTAGAAAGAGATGTGTTAACTATAGTAGACTATATATAGTATAAGACTATTAGTGTCTTAAGGCCCTTAAGGTAAAAGAGTAAGTATATACTATATATTAATAAAGGCCTAGACAGTTTAAGGTATCTAAGAGTAGCTTTACTAGCTAGGTACTTAGTGTTATACTAGCGTCCTTATAAGATAGTAATAATAGCTACTAGATTATAGTATATAAGAGACTATAGACAGGTAATAGTAAGAAGCCTATAGTAAAGACTCTAGTAAGGTAAGAGTACCCTCTTATTAGGGTACTAGATACTATAATAGTCTAAAGCTACGACATTATAAAGATGTTAAGCTAAGAGGCTAACTAAGGGTCTAGCGACTTCTTTATAACGTAGAAATCGTAGATCCTAGACTCTTAGTAATAAAATTAATAATAGTATACTAGAATACTATAAGAAAGAACGGCCTTACCTTAATAGTACTTTATAATAGCTATAAAGTTAACGTTATAGTAATTTAGAAGCTATAGTATAATACTTAGATAAAGACAGTCTACTACTTAGCGTAAGTAAAGTACTAGCAGGTCTATAAGGACAAAGGTAGAGTAGTTATCTATATCTATAAGTAGTACCTACTTCTTACTTAAGTAGTAAAGACAGGCGTTAACTAGTGTTACGTTACTTTATAAAGTATTACTATCTAGTTAATATACTTACTAATTCTTAACTCTCTAGGCTAGGCTAGCCCTTTCTAGTAGCTTACTAGAGAGGACCTAAAGAGGCTATAGATCGTTATAAGTAACATAAACCTTTATTACTTACTCTAAGATAGAGCTAGTAAGACTACCCTTAAATTAGAGACCCTTCTCTATCTAGCCTATAAGTAGTAGCTCTTACTACATATACCTTAGAGAGAGCTAATATAGTAGTAACATAATAAACAAGACTTAACGATTAACTATATATAGGTTATAGTAATGCTCTAGTATACTTATTAAGGTAACCTAAGGTATAAGAGATCTAACTACTATACCTAGCTAATTAAGGTTACTACCTAAGTAAGGGATTACTAAGAGAGAGCTATAAAGGCACTAAGATAGAGCTAGACCTTAATAGACTAAGAACTAGTAACAATTAAGGCTAAGAGGCTTTACCTCTCTTTAGAACTGTTAAATATACCTTATAAGGTCGATAAGACAGTTAACTTACTTACCTCTTAGCTTATACATATTATAGATATATCTACCTTAAGAAAGAAGGTTAACTA